AATGTGACTGCTTAAAATTAAAGAGTACAGTACTTGCATTCACCGATGTGTGTTTTGAAGAAGAAGAAAAAGTCAAGACTTTGCAAAAGGTTGGAAACAGAAGTAGAATTCTGCTCACAGGTGACAAACGCACCAAGTGCACACCAACCGGAGATTTATTTTGCACAATCGATGCCTGGCAGAATTACCGCGGCATAAACGCCACACAAAGTGACTGTTTCAGTCGAAACCCCTTAGCGCCCGTTTTTGTGAGCACACCGGGCAAGTGTTGAAATCGTGAATAACACGTTTGGAATATTTACAGTCGCACTCCAAGATTTCATCCTTCCAATGTCAAAACACAGTTAAAATTAAATAGGGCTGGTTTTTTTTTTTGATAACGTGCACACAGTCGCGCACGCTCTTCTTATTTCATTTTTTTGGGGGGGGGCAGAGAGGGGGCGGTGGGGCTGGGCGAGTGGGATTTACCGGAGGGTATCTGCGGCGTTGTCAGAATTACGAGAGACGAACTAAACACTCGTCGTCTAATTTAAAGTCCGGCGACTCCTCCACTTGCGTTCGGTCCGGGCCGCCGAATAAAACTGATTGGAAATTCTAATCGCGCCCCATCACAGCGAAGTGCGGCACAATAAATCTGGTCGGAAATGCTAAAACTTCATTAAAGCTTTGTGATTTAATGCGCTGTTTGTGCAAGGGGAGAGAGAGAGAGCGAGAGCCCGCATGGCCTCCCCGTGCCTGATTAGCGCCGGACGCTGCAGATATGCCGATACATGCATGCCGCTGGCCAAGTGCAGATGAAATGCTACCCCCCCCCACCCCCCTTTTTTTTCTCCACTGCTCATTCCGAGTGTGACTCCCTGATATCAAAAGCCATTTCGCTATCCCAGAGAACAAAATTTTCCCCGGCACCGCGCTGTAAATTCAAGAAACCCATTTATGGCTCCTTGATACATCTAATAATCCATTTTCCCACCGGTATATATTAACACAATAGCGCATATAGAGTATATCGCGGCGTGCATGACAATGCTTTTGATGGCCGGAGGAACACAATGTGAATAATTGCAATGCACAGCCCAAGCAATGCCAACACAGTGCAATTGCGCTCGGCACGTAGCAGGTTAGACGGGTGATTTATTCTTGTGTATGCATGTTAATTTTGTTAAAACACTTAATTAGTACCCTACTTACTAGGCTAATAATAATAAAAAATACGTACTGCTAGTTACATTGGAGTAATTGATGGAATATTCTTTTTTTTTACGGTACAATAATTAACACTTTCAGTGACCCAACACAGAGGATGGCATATTAACAACATTAGGCAAATTAAACTAATTTTGCCACAGCGAATAGTCCACTTGCTGCTGCTGCTGCTGCTGAAATCCATGAGAGGTGGCGGTGGGGGGTGGAAGAAATACAGAGATGAAAAGAACACATCACCTGGCCTGGCAGGCAGGCTGCTGACCAGCCGTTTGGGGGGGGGGGGAAATCTCAGTTGGATTGCCGTCGTCAGAAATGGAGTTTGCATAATTTACCAAAGCATGACCTTTGTTTCTCCTCGGCCCGTAAAATATAGACTGCGGTGGCCGCGGGTCGGTTTTACGGCGTATATTTAGCCGGAAAAATGAAGTGATCCTCGCAGATAAAGCCGGTGGATGACGGGCCCGCCGATTTATTTGCCGTTTAATTTATACGGCACGCATGCCCGGCTCTTGATTAAACCACTCACGAGAAACGAGGATGCAGAGATTCAAATTAGAGAGTTATGGAGTCGGCAGGAATACGCAGGCGGCCCGCGTGCTCTATCTCGCTCGTACTCTCTCCTTAGCGAGCTAAATGTGATGAGGTCGTCAGGGTCAGCCAATATGAAAGACCGTCTTATGAAAACTTTGTCGAACGTAATACGGTTTAGCGGCGAAGAGCAAACGCAATATTAAGCGCCGCTGTGCATACGGCAGAGGTCATTGGCACGCTCATCGTCCAGGGTAACATGTTTGTTTTTACGCTTAAGTTGCTTTTCCATTATCGCCCTGTTTAAGAAATGACGGTACAAAATGATTGCGCCATATACACACGCGCGTGCACATTCTTTACAAGCGTGTCAAGTTGAATTGCGGCTGCTTCTGCAGAGTCTGGTTAAGTGAAATAATATAGCATGTTTCTGTTCCCGAGTAAATCGCTAGACTCGATTGTCGATTGACTCCGACAATCTAGTTTTTTTTTTTTTAAGTCGTATAACATATATTCATATCTCATTTTGACCATGTATTTTTTTACATATCCAAATTATTCAACTGGAATTTCCTCGGTCCCGTTGTATTTCAATTTTTGAAAACGCAATCCGCTCCCTAAAGCCTTCCGTTTATAGAATGTCAGTGAAGCGGTGGCGAAGCTGCCGAGTGTGCAGGCGGTACAACTGCATCGAGGGCCGCAAGGGCTTGGAGGTAGTCCAGCCACCTGGCCACGTAGACGGGGGAGGAAATATGACAGAGGGGAACCCCATTTCATTCTTAGCGCCGGGAATCACGCCAAACCACGCCGCGCCATTGTATATACAACTTCTTTTGCACCGTACGTTGCCAATCGGAGGTGCGAGGGGGGGACAGCAGAAGCCACTAGGCCATCGCTATTGCAGCGATGTGCTCAGCAATCCCTATCTCTGGTGCCAACTTTGTAGGTAAGACTTTAACTTACAGTGGAGGAGAGGGGGGGGTGGCAATGTTGCGATTCTGCCTTTTGCTGTATTGCAGTCACTCCTGCCCGATTTCGTGGGCCACTCGAGTTGCCCAGCTGCGGGGAATAGGGAGCTGGTTGGGGGGGGGGGGTGTAGGGGGCATGCGGCAGCTGCCTGTTAAATTGTCCTGCCAAGCGAAATTCATTTGTGGAACGGCCACATGCGAGGGGCCAGGCTTTAGTGTCTGCCCGCGTTCGAAGGACCTCGCTCCAGGAGGGTAATCACTACACCTCCACGTTTCCAGTGGACGAGGTCTAAGGGGGAAACACAACATGGATGTAACAAAAGATCCCCTCCCGTATAGCCTTACCAGACTTGCTAGGGCAAGTGCTGTGAGCGTGGCACCTAAATTTCGATTTAAAGCTGTCGTGACTGCAGGGATTCATCTTCTTGGTTCCTTCGGTAAAGTCACGTAGAATGGAAATAATAAAATAATACAAATAAAACATCATAAAATAATTCTCACGACGTTTCGGCCACAACGCAAGCAGCCGTCCTCAGGTGGAGAACAGGTCTGTCGAGAAGACAGAGTCTATTACGTGGATTAACGACCATAGTCCCACATCCACCTCTGGTTTGTCCCAACGCTCTCTTTCAACTCAACACAGAGCGACAGAGATCTTCTCTGTCAGCCTGTAACAGGACTCTGAAAAAACGTCGACCTTACCATGGCTGTCGTTTATAGCCATGATCAAGCGTTGGCTAATCACCGACGACGGCGTTGCATTTTACAAATATACCGTCACCAAAGCAAACAAAAAACATGTATACGTTGCCGTGTAATATGTAACAGTGCGTTGTCCATCACTCACTCACTCAGGCCATCTGTTAGTTGTGTGTGAATTGCTGAAATGAGATCACATGGGTTTGAATCGTTAAAAGAGATGCCAGGTGCGCTATTATCACAATGCTTGGCTCAAACGCAATACTCGCAACTGCTAGTGTGCACGCATATTTGTGAGAAGTATTCATCCAAAGCGTTTCGCTACGGTCAGAAATGTGGGTCGTGTATGCATTGGCGGTATAGTTTCAAGCGACGTTCCCATCGATGTATGAAAACACCAGTAAACATGGGCCATCGTTGGGAGTCAAGGACCACATTCGTAAAAGGATAGTCGAGTGTGTTTAATATTATGCAAGAGGGTTTTCGGTTAGATCGCATAAATATACGTGCCATTAAACCCGCCACCACCCTAAACAGCCAATTAGTAAGGTTAACCCAACCGGTAATGGATATCCGTAATAATTTGTATGCATATTACCCCCCCCCCCCCACACCTCATGCCTTCACACGTGATTGGCTCACAAGAGACGACATCACATGTATCCCTCTATTTAAGACCGGAACAGGAGGATTTCTCCACAACTCTGGCTGCCGCCTGATGATGCTGGTTGTACTTACTGGCGAAACGTCGTACTCGAAATGTAAATGTTGTGGGTTTACTCTCCAACACGCCGGTTAGTGCTGTACTAGTGACGAATTGGCGTGTTTTATTTACGTTGACACAACCTGGGTTTAACGACACATTTATATATTTACGCGATCTAACTCAAAAATCTCTATTATGGATAGTCGAGTGTACTGCACCCATCTTCTGTACCATAAACAGCTAAAGCCCTGCTGCACAACTGGCAAAATTAATGTTCCGCATCTGCGAGCGGGACAAGTGTACACTAAATTTCGATTTAAAGCTTTCGTGACTGCAGGGATTCATCTTCTTGGTTCTTTCGGTAAAGTCACGTAGAATGGAAATAATAAAATAATAAAAATAAAACATAATAAAATAATTCTCACGAATTATTAGTAGACAGTCAGACTCTGTCTACTCGACAGACCTGCTCTCCACCTGAGGACGGCTGCTTGCGTTGTGGCCGAAACGTCGTGAGAATTATTTTGTTTTATTTTTATTATTTTATTATTTCCATTCTACGTGACTTTACCGAAAGAACCAAGAAGACAAGTGTACACTAATCGATACAAATTAATTTCAACAAAAATACATGGATAACACGTAAAAGCACAAGCCCGCTAAAAGATCATGTACGCTCTCAAGATCTCATAGAGTCCATCGCCCTCGTGTGGAAAGAAAATCAATAATGCAGACACAACACAACGCTCGGATTGCAATTATTAATATCACACGTTTTAATATCGCATAATTGGACTAATGTGCCAATGTACTTGAGTTAAATAAGCGCAGCTGATGAGAAGCACGCGTGATTAAAAGCAGGGCACGAAGGAGAGTGACACTTCTTAAGTTTTATTCCACGTAAACATAATATTTACAACAACAAAGAAAGCTTTCGGCGATATAGATCTGAGTTGCTATCGTCGAACATGTGATATCACGTTTGTAATAAAACAATATGTACAAATCAATATGTATAACTTTTCATTTTAAAAATAACAGGGACACGTAGTTGCGCTTGAATAGTGAAATTGAACGTCTCAGAGTAAAAGCGGGCTCATGATGAAGCTCACCCGAATAAACAACATGATTGCAAGTTATTATAAAAAAAATATGTCGGTTTAACACGTAGCAGGCGTTCGTGACCAATATTATCCATAATAATTTTTTGGAGTACATCGCGTGAATTTCAGTGTCTTTAAGCCCGCCGACACAGCAAATTAGTAAGGTTAACCCAACCGGTAATGGCTATACATTGTAATTTATATACATACATGATCCCCCCACCCCCCTCTGGCCATCGCACACGATTGGCAAACAAGTGATATCACATTTTTCCTGCTATTCAAGACTGAAACAGGAGGATTTCTCCACAACTCTGGCTGTCGCCTGATCATGCTGGTGTAATTACTGGCGAAACGTCGTACTCAGATTATACATTTTATGGATTTTCTCTCCAATACACCGGTGTGCTGAACTAGTAACGATTTGGCATGTTCTGTTTACGTGAAAAGCCTTACTAATTGGCTGAGTCGGGTGGTGGCGGGTTTAATGACACATGTATATTTACGCGATCCAACCAAAAAACCTCTATTATGGATATGTGTAGGCGTTCGGATATTAATGCAGGTAGCTCACTCAACCCAAAGTCTTGAGAACAATCATCATCGTAAGGTTTCACACTTTGCTTATTGTACGAATATTCATTCCAATAGATACAGCCCGATAATTATCAAAACACCATAATGTGAAGAATGTGAAAAATTGGAGCTTAAAAAAAATTGCATCCAATTGGAGCAACCTCTCTTCGTCTTTTGTTCTCAAACCATATTAACCTCCACCCCTTACATTTAGTTAAGCGCTGCTATAATGAATACTATTTAATATAGCGACAATTAAAATGAGTAAAAAAAAAATCTTTAAATATACCGGGCAAAATATTAAACATCACACAAGTCACAATGCATGTATTTCTCACTATGTAGACCTTTACATTTTAAGTTACAAAGGAACACATAGTAGACGAGAACATGATTGAAATGTTACATTCACCTGAATTCAAATATACATTTAAAAAATCACGTCAGAGGAATTTAGAATCATGAAATGTGTGAACCGTCATTTGGAGTAAACACCGCTATAGCAGGCACATGTTTTAATTAGCATACAACACATTGAATTTAGAGTTGAATTTTATTTACACGTTTCTCAAAATTTTCATGGATAACATAAGCACGCTGTGCACTGGAAACAACAACAGCACGGAAAAAGCAACGCAGCCGTCAATACAATCCGTTCCCCTATAATGCCGAGTGCTGTTTTCACGCCAATTGGATTTAACGCGATTAATGTATGGGGAACACATTTTTTTTTTAAACGCGGATGCGAATTGGATGTAACGCGATTGAGTGAACGGTGCTACATTGCGCGAGTAGGAATGAGGGGCTGTACGGCGGCCTCGGCGTAGCATCACACGAGGCGGGATACTGCTGGATGCTTCCAGATTCTACCCACGAGCCTCAGTCTTTGTTCAGCCTGCATATGCAACTCACGTGTTCTCGCGGACTGTGCTTTACCCTAATAATCTATATTATTATAACAAGTAGGCTTTCGCGACCAATATTATTCATAATAAAGGTTTTTGGGTTAGATTACCGTAAATATAAATGTGTCGTAACCCTCCACCACCCGACACAGCCAATTAGTAAGGGATTTGTAGTAACTAATTGGCGTTGTGTTTAGGTGACAAATCCCTTACTAATTGGGTTTGTTTGGTGGTGGAGGGTTACGACACATTCATACTTACGCGATCTAACCCAAAAACCTTCATTATGGATATATTACGCGATTTTTCCATAACGCAGTGTTCTTCAGGAACGCAACGACTCCCGCGCTTATAGAACACGACTGTACAACAAGAGTAACGGCTCAGCACGATCGCTCTACCACAAATACAGTCAACACAGCCAAATTCAGCACAAGACCTGCTGACCAACACAAAGGTCCCATAAACCATTACCGATGAATAAAAGGCTGCTAAATATTGAGAATGTAGCTTTATCATAACGAAGAGTGCAAAGATCTTTCCCCCACCCCCGCCCCGCTTCCTCCAGTATTGCCTACAAAGGCTGTTGGGGCAAGTTCCATTAGCACATATGAAGGCCAGAAATGTGCAGCACAAAAGGAGGGGACGGTAGTGTGGCCAGCACCACACGCGGCTGCCATTGCATTACCTGACGTTTACACACCGCACCGGGTTATCGGTTAAGGCTGAGTCGATCAGAGAAAAAGGCCCAGGACTGGTTCGGATAATAAACCATCGGTGTTAGCCGTGGCGGGGATTGAAACGCAGGGCTTCGTCTGTGCAGGGCGCTTTCTAAACTAAACTACCGCTGCCCTCCACAACGTAGACACACACACACACACGCAGTGAACGAGACATTCACTTCCAAGGCATTGTATTTAGTTGCCAAGCAATACTTTGTCGATTACAAAAATAAATGCTTTATAGAAGAACTACATGATAGCGCCCCTTTGCTTCCTGAGTGGTATAATTAAGAGAATCCTTTTTTTTTACAATAAAGATGCAGGGTTGCTTGCATTTTGGTTACGATTAAGATTAAGTGGTCCCATAGGCTGCAATGCAAACATTCTGTTCACAACAATGTGGACTACAAAACAATTCTTGGCTTTAAATGAACACTCTGCGATCCGCGTATAGATACCCCACTCAAGTAACACACTGTACACAAAACATTTTATTTTAAAGCACCACCTACACGTCTTCCAACAAATTACAGACGTTGAACATTCTCGTCTGTGAGATTGCAGAATCACTGCTTGGGCAATATTTAAATAAGGTGTTGAGGAGTTTCACCAGAAGATGTACGTACGTTTAACTTCTTTCACGCCGTACGTAGCCGAACGTGATGAAAAATAATAACGGGGTATCTATAAATGAATCGCCCTGTGAAACATACTGGGGGTTCGCACGGAATGCCTCGTGTGTATTATAAAAAAAGTCACCAAAACAAATAAATCGTGTTTAATAGTATCAACTATCAAGTCAGACGGGAAAAGAAAAAGATAAAAAAAATATTTTCCAGGTAGAAGCCATTTTGTACATTGTCAGACATCGTTTGAATTTGTATTTTGTTACAAAAGCATGATTCAAAGGTGAGTTTGGTAATTTTCTTTATAAGAGCAGAGTAAATTACATTTGTGTATGATTTTACGTCTCATAAGACTAACGGTAACGTTGTTCAATCATTATTATAAAACTACAGTATGGATTATTTTGATATGTTCTATATACATGTGTGCAGGAGCGTTGTACGCAATCAGTAGCTTTAACCTCACCACAAAAATATAAGATTAATACTTTGAATGTTTTTATAGTCAGGTAGACTGCCAGACACAGACAGACAGACGAAGGCAGACAAATGATTAACTTTCCAGTTAGCGGAAGGTAAGATGCATTCATGTAATCTTCGTTGGGAGGCGAGGGACCCAAGTCAAATGCAGTGCTCTCACACGACGCTGCTTCTGATACAATGTCGGCCCGCTTGCTATAATGCCACTAGCTCAAATCTTCCTCCCTCCGTTTCAAATACTGTAGCGTCTCCAGCGCTGCTTTGTAGCAGAAGATGTACTGCTCCTGCAACAACAAGAGGGACACGCGCACACGCGCACACACGCGCACATGCATGCATTTGTGACGGTTCGCCGAGATTCAAGTTTGGCTCGTAAACGCGCGGCGGTGTCAGTGGGGTTGTGTGCGTAACGCAGTTCCGAGTGATGAAGCGACGAAACTTGGCCGTACCAGCGTCTGCACCATGCCATAGCGCTGGGTCCTCATCTCTCTCACAATGTCGGCAATGTTAAACTGAAGGGAAAAAACGGAACAGACAGCACACACGCGCTCACATAAACTAACAACAGGACCTTTAAATTGATTTGCGAGGAGCCGCCAATACCAGTGGCATTTTTAAGCGATGCTCAATTTCGCACAGGTTTTATAATGAGTTTGTAAAAAAAGAAAAAGACTTTGTATGTTCAAAAAACATACGCCGGACGAAAATAAAATCACATTTAATTGGAATGCATTGCACGTATAATTAGATGTGAAATATGAAACAAAAATGTACAAAGAAATATGCGAAGGATTGTTTTCTAGCTGCGTACGGATATAAACATGTAAACAAATGTGTCATTTAAATTCAGGACAATGTGTTACGTAAATAAATCCGCAATTCATAAGCAGAAGTAAAAAAGTTTCTGCCATTGCAAAACAAAACTACCACGCGCACACACACAACAGAAGACACTCCACTAAAAGTTGCACACCGATGACCTTCACTCACCACGCATCTCACACACACAGCTGACATTACAAACTGGAGTCGCATGGCCGGCGACCTTCATCGCGAGACCTCACGCGATCATTCGCGGCGCCGACCGTGCCCACCGCCCCCCCCCCTCACCTCAAGGCCGTGGTCTATGTGTGCCAGCACCGCGTCGAGGCAGATGAGCGCGCCGGACCGTCCCACGCCGGCGCTGCAGTGCGTCACCAGGGGCCCCGGCTCCTCCTCGTCCTCCTCGTCCTCCTGCTGCTGCTGCTGCTGCCCCTGCCCGGCTGACGTTGGCCCGGTGACGGCGGCGCCGGCGGTGCCAGATGGAGCGTCGTCACAGCCGCGCGAATCGGGCTGGGAGGCGAGCGCGAGCTGCAGGCGTCGCGCGAAGCGCAGGAAGCGCACGAGCGGTCCGGCCGAGGCCGGCGCGCCGTGGTCGGGCCACTGCGTGAACTGGAGCTGGGTCACTCGCTGACGAATGCCGGTCTGGACAGGGGCGGGGGGTCGCGGGCGGGGGGTCGTGAGCGGGGGCAGCGGGAAATTATTAACGTGTGTTACATATTTATTTCTTTACAGACCCTCCCCCCCCCTCTCGTCACCTTGTTGCTATGCCACTGCTGGATGAAAGCCTCCTCCCATGCCGTGCCGATCGTAATTCGATGACACGAAGGTTCCTGGGGTGACCGAGCTTTTGCCAGCGCCGTGTCCAATTATTCATTTATTGCTGCATAAAATGAGCTGGTGTAAGTGGATGTCAGCGCACCCTCTTGTGAGCGAGTATATGTGTGCTTATATCCAAAGTGTGCTTGTACCAGCAATTGCTCTGTACCTTCCCCCACCAGTCTAATGTAGCATACGTTGCTTGTATCAGAACTGCTTTTACAAAGCCGTGCTCATGAGCAGCATCGATGCGTTGAAATATCACGCACAGAGGTTACACATTGTAACGGTCGAGGCTACAGTGGCGTGCTGGAAAAAAAAAACTAAAATTTGGTTTGGAAAATCAAAACGTTGCTTTGTGGCTAAACACGACGTAACAAAAGACTGCGCAAGTGGGGCGTACAGCGCCGCACGCTCGCAGAAAACACAGGGGGTGGCGGAGGGGGGGGGGAGCCCAACATCCAAAAACAAAGAAGATGGAAAGAAGGGGGAGGGGGAGGGAGCACCATACGTCTTGCGAACCTCCACTTCGGTGATCATGATCACGCGGATGCAGAAGCTCTTGAGCGTCTGCTGCTGCTCCAGAACCAGACGGTAGGGCCCCACCTCCGTGGCGCGCGACCGCGACTCGGGCCAGTAGCGGTGGCACTTTGCCCGGCCCAGCTCCGTCTCGAGAGTGAGCATGGCGAGGACGCGCGCCCGCTGCTCCCACACCATCTGCCAGAAGTGGGCGGCCGTGTGCGGCAGGGGCCCCTGGCACGCGATGTACGCCAGCGCCGCGTCGCCCGCGCGCAGCGCCACGTGGCTCGCGTTGATGTAGTCGTCCTCGCGGCCCGACAGGGCGACGCGCGTCGCGTCGACTGCGGCGGCGGTGAGGAGGAGCGGAGGTTGGCGGTTAAAAAAAATAATATTTTTTTTTACTCGAGATTAAAATTACGTCCCGTGGATTTGCTTGAAATAACGGTGATTTCGCAGCGCGGAAAGGAATGGACAACTGTAATGCCAGTGAACGACGAGGGCACATTCTGAAGTGGCGGCAGAGGATGACCTTGCTTGGTTTGGCTGAGGTCACCATACGATGCTGCGCTTGTGCCACTGTGCTTACACTCCATATAAATATCCTGTAAACATACAGCCCTTTGTGGGCATAGCCGGGGTTGCTTAAATCACACATCGCCACGCTGCCGAGAGCACGTTCCGCGAAGAAGGGGAGCAGTGAAGCACAGTACAACAATGGATTGTTCTGCACCGCCCGCCACTACCCACAGCAGCCTATAACACCAGTTAAGCCTGGTGGGTCGCCTCTTCCAAGCACTAATTCACATCGCACGTGATCTGGCGAAAGACTTACGATTATAATCACCAAGTCATAACAATAATGCATAAGCTCACCGAGTCTCAAGACTAATTTTATGGATTGGCCACAAATAACCAATTTGTGGCCAATTCCATTTCAGAGATTTTGGCGAATGAGAGTACCCAGAGAAAGCCGACGTGTCTGAGGAGGTGACACTCAAACCTCTGGACAGCTGGGTTCAAGAATCGACTGCTGTGCTGCGACCCCCTGGCCTTCTCACAGCCCGAGCCTTACAAAGTATGGAATTTGCAGGGAGTCTCCCATAACTGTGCCAAGCAGGCTCAACCCCGTGCGGCTCCTAAGATCCGCTAAGTTCAGGTGCGTTCAGGGTGATTTTGGTCACAGGAATTTATGATTCTAAACAAAGAAAAAAATATTTCTATTGACTGTACAAGGAGACAATTTTATTTTTAAAAAGAACGATGCTCTCGTGTTTTTTTTTCCTCCCGTAATAATTGCTTGCTTCCGCTCATTTCTCCTGCCAAGCACCGCACGCGGGAGTGCAGCGGTGTCATTGTCATGCAAATGCTTACAGGGGAGGACATTCCGATAGCGGTTCCGATCTCGATTCTCCACAGCAGACGCCACTAAGCAGCCGTCCCGCGGGGTCAGATTACACAGCCTCTGCAGAAACAACAATGGAAGAATCCCCGCATCGTTACAACGCCATCCGCGCAACATCCACCACATCGCGGCGACCGAGAGAAAACTGACGTATATTTTTTTCGCGGGTTGCCACATATCATGAATGGAAAACGGCAAAATGACCACTTGCCTGGAACTCCTTCTCTGGTCCTTGCTGTGTGATGTGCACTTGCAATTTATTGATGAAAGCCTCCAGCTCGACCCCCGTGTAAATGCTGTCCGGTGGTGGCACAGCCAGAGGGAGGGCATTTATCGCCTCTTCCGACACGATGTCTGGTCCCAAAGAAACAATTACGGCCTCTTTAAACAATGTGCGATGTGGAAAAAGGAATCACAACGTGTCCATACGCATCACAACGTAGCCTTCAAATCATTGTCATATACTTCTGGGCTTAATTTTCATCCAATTAAATGTTTTACAACAAAAAACATACGTGACTTAATGTTTTACACGCCTTCACAGCACAAATATTTACATCCCTTCGTCAATCCACTGCTGGATGAATGTTGTCCCACACCGTGCCAGTAGCGGGTGTTACACAGTGGGTTAGTGAATGAGGCGTGGCCCAGGAAAGGCTTAGATATCACTCCCCACCGGTGTTAGCCGTGGCTGGGCATCAAACACAAGTTGCCGAGTTCACGCTGCAGTGTGCTAACAACTGCACCACCGTTCCAGCCCAGGCCTAATATCCTGAAGTATATAAATACATATATATAAATAGTACAGTAGTTACGACAACATACGTTAGTCGGAAATATTTGCATATTTGAAATTTGAGCGCAGCCATTTCGTCTTAGTACCAGCGGTTAATGCTTTCGATCCAGGGGCGTTAAAGAGGTGACGTTGGTGCATCATGGGAATTATGACACTCCAAAATCCACTGAGCTGAGGTACCCAGGAAATGGCAGTACAGCAAGTGGGTTTGTGAACCCAACTGGGCAGACTTTTGAAACGTTATCCCCTCAAAGCATGGGGGGGGTGACGACTAGCATACCAAAAACACACCTTCAAAATGAATTGGTCAAACATTGCAATTAAGTGTCCTGAAATAGTCTTGAGACTTGATGAGAAAACAAAAATTCAAACAAATGACATATTTTCTTACAATGACCTCTGCGAGTAAAACTGCGAGGAGTGACGGTGGCCGGTGGTCGACACTCACGCCCAACGGAGGGCAGTCTACTGCTGCGGAGATGGAACGGCGAAATCCAACTCGCGTGCAGATGCCGGATGCAACGGCTGCATCGCGGGAGTGAGCGAGGAGTGACTGCCGCCTGAGGAAGCTTTCATCCAGCAGTGGATAGATGGCTGATTATGAAAACTGTGATCGTTTGTCACGCAAAGATACAGCCACGTTTGCAAATGTTACTTGTAATTCTGATATTTACCACCCGTGTATCGATAGTTCAATGTTAATTTGCAATGTGATTGAGGGACTGTGGTTTTTTTGTTGTTTTTGCTGCATTACCCCAAGATTGCATTCAGTGTTGAAAAATCGGCAGGAATTTATGTACTTATACAATTTGAACTGATGTACTTTATCACTTTTATTTATTGTGACTTGCTTACCTTTCTTATACTTTGCACTTATATCTTTTTTTTGTATTGTTTGTTGTTACTTTATGACCCAGTCCTACTGGACCATCTGTGAAAAAGAGCTGCATAGCTCATCGGATTTCTCCGGGATAAATAATGATTCTGATTGTGTGATAAAGCTCAGCCTGTGTGTGCAGAGAGAGCATGAGCCGCTGTTTACCTGGCAGGGTTACGGAGCAGCAGTGCCTCAACCAAGCAACGGGAACAGGCTCAAACTGCACACAACAGGCCCTAGGCCTGGAGAATTTATAAATTGCCGTAATCGGCAAAAAAACGAGAAGAAAAAAACCCCCTGAAGCTAAGAAAGAAAGAAATGGACACCCGTAATTATATGAAGAGTTTTTTTGGGTTAGATTGCATAAACATATACATGTGTCGTTAAAACCCGCCACCACCCGACACAGCCAACCAGTAAGGGTTGTCACGTAAACAGAACGTGGCCAATTCGTCACGAGTACAGCACACCGGTGTGTTGGAGAGCCAAGCCACAACATTTATAATCTGAGTACGACGTATCGCCGGTAATTACAACTAGCTTCTGGACTCATCTTCTTGGTTCTTTCGGTAAAGTCACGTAGAATGGAAATAATAAAATAATAAAAATAAAACATAAAAGAATTCTCACGACGTTTCGGCCACAACGCAAGCAGCCGTCCTTAGGTGAAGAATAGGTCTGTCGAGAAGACACAGTCTGAATGGATTATGTTTTATTGTTATTATTTTATTATTTCCATTCTACGTGACTTTACCGAAAGAACCAAGAAGATGAATCCCTGCAGTCACGAAAGCTTTAAATCGAAATTTTGCTTCTGGACATGCAGGTTTGTTTTCTATACTGGGGGTTTGAGAGGTCCATTGAGCGCTGCTCACTCGGCCATGAAATCACCGAAAGTCTCTACCTGACAGGGTTGAGTCTGTATCAGTCTCCTCCTTGCCGGCAAACTCTTCCTCTTCGTCTTCCCCATCTTCATCCTCGTCTTCGGTCACCCAGCCATTCCCGTAGTCGTCGTCACTCTCTTCCTCTCCATTATGATGTAGATGTTCCTTGCTACGTGACGGGAAAAAAAATGTTTACTTTTAAATTATTAACCAATAAATTGCACGAGATTTTCAAGGAGCATACGTTATGTTTCATGAAACTACGCTTGCAGAACACTCTGTTAACATAGAGCTTCGAAGAACTGTCGTAACTTTGTTTTTGACCCGAGTTTTGTTGTTTTTAATACATTGCGAAATCAAATGAATATATGTAGGCAGTTATAGGTATGCATAAGAGAGAGTGTGTGTGTGTGATCAATGCTCAAGCTTTGGCAAAATGCCCAGCGATCTCTGTGATCCAGGTTGAATTTCTCGCCACTCACACTATCTATGCCACTGACAGTTGCCATCTGAACCTTATTCTGGTACCTGCGAGGTCAACCCATCCCAAAGATGTGTCAATCAACACTGATGCCACGTTTCCATGAGCACTGGGACCCAGGCTGCGCCAGCTCTGTTTGGTTTCAGTTCTGGCCCAAGATCAGCAGCTCACAAGGTGTGGATTCCCTCCCTCCCTCCCATCGGCCATGCCACTGCGTGCACTTAGCCCCTTCCACTTCGTATCCCCTGCCCCCGACAGCGTGGGGGGGGGGGGGTGGAAATGTTTTTAAAAAGTCGTCATGTGCTCTTGTGGACAATTATGGGTATGGCCCATGAAACCAAAGAAAGCTGTTTTCTTGGTTCTTTCGGTAAAGTCACGTAGAATGGAAATAATCAAATAATAAAAATAAAACATAATAAAATAATTCTCACGACGTTTAGGCCACAACGCAAGCAGCCGTCCTCAGGTGAAGAACAGGTCTGTCGAGAAGACAGAGTCTGAATTTTATTATTTCCATTCTACGTGACTTTACCGAAAGAACTAAGAAGATGAATCCCTGCAGTCACGAAAGCTTTAAATCGAAACCAAAGAAAGCTGGTCACGCGGACCATAACACTGCCTTGCGTATAAGTCGGCGTTAACGAGTCGACGTTGGAGGGGAGTCTTCGCTCGCCTTCGTGAACGCAAAATCGTTGCTTCAGAGAAGGTCACCAACCTATCGTGCAGTGAAATAGAATCTTCCTCGGGGTCCAGCTCGTCACACGTTGAATTCCCAGCAGGCTCTGGGACAATACTGCTCGACTGGGAGTGGCCATTCTGCATGGAGACCTACGGAAAAAAAAAACTCTCACATTAAGCTGCTCACCATATTGCCGGGATAATAAATAAGATGCGCTGCCCCCTCCTCCCCGTATTTTAAAGAAGTTGGGGTGTGTGTCGTATCATTCGGAGAATACTGTACGTATATACACATGGGCCAACAAAAGTGGACACTCTACAATGATAAATATTACACTTTAAGTAGTAACTATTCATTCAACAAACATATAACAGCAACAGTCAAGTCGCATTGACAATGCAAATGTAAAAATTAGGCACACGCACTGGTAGATTATGATTCGGTAACATTTGATCACCATGCAATTATGTCATTACGAATCGTACATACACACAGGGCTTCAAAATTAAGTCTGTAACTCTGTTCGTCTCTCGTTCTCACAACTATACGAAGCCCCATTGTACTCAAAGCAAAGAGCACAATATGCTTGAGTGTGGTGGTTTTAGGTCTAAATGATTACATAATAAATTGCAAAAATTCTTTAGCATTAATTTCCATACCCTTTCCTAGTAAAAACTCTACTATTGGGGTAGCAACTACAAAACAAGTAAACTTTTTAAGAGCATATGTTTGTTAAAAGCATATTTTGCCAAGCCGGACTATGCTGATGAAAACCAAAAGGTCAAAACCAGGTCAGAGTTTGTTTACTCCCATTAGCACGATTGGCTGTGTATGCTGCGAAAGAAGTTCAACAAACTTACATACAAATGCGACTGGATAATCTCTTACTCTTCTCTTAAACTAAACTATTTTTTTGTTTATTAGGCAAGGCCCAGAAGCGACCTGGCTAAAAATGCTGGCGCATCGAAGTGGCTTACATGTGGAAATGTATAGCAGCCAAATACTCTGAACACATGTTGAAAATCCACACAACCAGGGGGAGAACATGCAAATTCCAAATATACAACAGGTGTCAGGATCGGGATTGAACCCACGACCTTCTGTATATCAAGTAAGGCAGTTAACATCTTACCACCATGGCACCCATACTACTGGTCCTACCAACAGGCCGACAGAACAAAACACATTTCATTTCCATGCGGAATCACAGAACTGAGGACTGAGAACGCCAATCAGAACATTTTTTTTCACCGTTTCTCTCACCTCTGCCAAGTCGTTGGGCAGCAGCTCTGAGTCCGGTTCGTCGAGATCCAGCGATTCCTGCCCGGAGCGCTCGTCAACGAGCGGCGCTGGCGCTTGGCTTTCAGCGAGCGCCTCCGATGGACTCCTGCTGGGTGGCTGTGGTGGTGGCCGGGCCACCAGCAGCCTCACCCAGCCCTGGGCCTTGCGCAACATCTCCACCACTCGCCCGTGCGACATGCTGCCAACCCGCTCCCCGTTTATCTGCAACGGCAACGGCGCGAGAGCAAACGGCAACGGCAGCGGCGTCAATCGCCGTCACTGCTCAGGGTTACGTCCGGCGCGCGGCTGTCAAAATAACCGCCCGCGATATTATCTACATCATACCAGCAGTGTGATGCGTCATTCAATCTGCCCGTGTTTATCTGCACTCAAGAGCAGCGGATCCGTTTATCATCGGCCCTTATGATTCTCGTCCTGTACGTTGAAAAGCTTTTTTTTTTCTTCTTTCCCTTCAATCGTTGCCGCCTGTGAAATATTGCCCGCCGCATACGTGGCGATGTTAGTCGTGGCCGTGTAATTTGTTCGGGAGTTCAATCTTGAATCATTTTCATAAAATAGTGTAAATGACATTCAAATAACCCAAGTGCACAGTCTGTCTCAGAAAGATAACGAAATTGGCTCTCGACTGTCAGTACTTTCGTATCAACGCGTATGTTAGTCTTTGACAGATACCACAATTACTTCATATTTTTATCTATCATATAGTCCTCACTATCAGAGCAAGTATTAATTACTCAATTTATCTTCAAAGCAACTCATAACTCCCCCTATGTATCGCTCGGTGTATCATATGCACTTTACATAACCTTTGCAAATGAAATCTCATTCTCACATTACGAAGAGACGAACGTTACGCTGCAACGCTTCGACCTTTTCACTTGCCGCTTTCAGCACAAAAAAATATCATATTATGCGAATCAACAGCCGGAGATCAATGTGCAAGGACCCGTCGTGCCACGCGCGCGGGGGTGCTCACCTCTAGCAACGTGTCGCCAATTCTCAGCCGATCGTCGAGTGCCGCTACTCCACCCGCACAGACGGTTTTCACCAGAACCGGCAGACCTTCATCGCCGCCCACCACCGAAAATCCGAGACCTCCGCCCACGGGTTTCTCCAACTCGATGCTGATGGCGCCGCCCTGCGTGAACACCGCGCGCGCACTTCTTAAGCGTCTTAAAATTCACCGACGATCCAACAACGCGTTTGTCCCAGATGTGAAAATGGACCTCTTGTTTTTACGGGTGTGTATATTTTTAATTGCCCAATTCTGGAACTCGGTTGGTCGAAACCATTTCAGGGGGGCCACCAAGCCTGAGGCTCTTGTAAAAAAGAAAAACAATCAGTTGATGCCCGGCCATGTCTGCGCTCGTCAGGACTTTCATGAATGTTTCATTGGCCACCTGACAGGACAGCTCTGCACGTGGGAGGGCAGCGCTGCCCGCTTTGGCCCAAGGCATCATTCATCCGGAGATCAATGCGGAGAGCACTCTCTGTTCAGCGGGCGTGGATCCGTGTGCAGGAATGCTTAGTCATTTCCATTCGGGGGGAAATGCGTGGACAGCCGCGCACGCCGATGGCTTTTGTTAATAGTCACTGGCAAATTACAGTAATAATTAATACAAATTGACAGCCCTGTCAATCCACTGCTGGATGAAGGCCTCCCCATGGCGTGTCAGATCGTGGGGGTTGTTTGACCGTACTTCACTAGGCTGGTCAGTGCGGGCTGGTTAAGGGGCAAGGGGAGACCAGGCCTGGTTCAAGCTATCACTTGTCACCATTGTTATTTGTGGCCGGGAATCGAACTCAGGTTTGCCAGGTTCATCGCACAAAACGCTAACCACTGTGCCATCGCACCACCTCAATTAATCAATATAAAACGTACGAAACATTCCCCAACATATTAACGGTATCATCTCGCATTCATTAAAAAAAGAGACTGACCTCGGAACTGTCCGTATCATTATGCCGCTCCTCTTCATCGGTGACACCATTTTCTGATGTCACGTCTGGAAACACAAGAAATCCAACCACCGCCCCCCCCGTGGGTATTTGACGACACGAGCATCGAATGACATCATAACTCGGCAGGACGAGGAGACACGTTTAGGCCCATGCTTTACGATCCACTAAAACCGCGCACGTTACAATGTGTGCCTATAAATGATCCCTGTGGAAATACAGTAAAAAAATGATTTAAGAATGCTTAACAGGGCACCCTCGACATTTGCTGGAGCATTTACAAAACGTCACGGTGACAAGTCAAACATAACGCATTGAATAAGTGCTCAAATGCACTGAGTATTAAAAAGAACCTCTCTGTATGCATATTCCAGTAGCACATCTGGAATGAGAGCCACGTGCAGGATATGTTTGAACAGAACACACAAAGCGACGCGGCACGAGCGGGGAACGAGCCTCCGAACTTCTCGTCTCTGGCGACCGCAACGACCGCCGGCGTTCGGAGCGCCCGAAGCCTCTTCGAGTGAGCTTCACGTGAATTTGGCCAAGTCAACGGTCCAAAGCATTTCTCCCCTCACCCCTCGTGCGCCGCCGCTAATCGGGACCGACCCCTGCCCTGGGCCGGTACACGGCGCTATCACGCAGCCGCCGGCGGCGGCGTTGGCGGCGCCGGCGACGCCCGGCTAGACTTGCCCGCGCGCTGCCACCGATTAGTCGGCTCGCTCGTTCGTTCGCTCGCGGCCGCGTCTCTCGCGCGGCAAGCGGGACGTGTTCAGCCGAGCAGAGGAAGCGCGCAAAGGAACGATCCTTCATATAGGCACGAGCGGAGTTATTTATTTATTTCCCGCCTTTATTTATTTACTCGCTTATTTGGCGCATTTTTTATTTATTGTCGCGACGCTCTCGTGCGGCAATAAGCAGCGGTGCGGCGAGGCACGGTGATTTCGAGAGGTTTCTTTTTTCTTCTTTTTTTTTTCATCATCTCACGTGGGGGATGTATTACTCACTGCAAATAGAGCAAATCTGTCCTCGAAGCCTGGCGGGCATGCAACAGCTTCTCCAGGCCGAAGGTCGGCATTACCAATCGTCGCAGCGCCCCACCACGTCATAACGAGGGGGCGGGGGGGGCACGAGAGGGTGTTGACCCAGCATCTCCTGACCGTCAGTAGTGGCGGCATAAAATAAATGAAAAAAATCCAACTTTGTTTATTCCAGCCATTTTCCCTCATCTACCGATGCATGAGGGCTTCCCCGCGCCATGTCGGTCATGGATGTTCAACTTCTTTCGCACCGTACGTGGCGAAGCATGCTGATACGTTACTGCATTGCGTCAAGTGTGGGTTGATTGATAAAGGGGGTGGGAAGTTGAACCACCGGTCCTTATATCACTCGCCACTGATGTTAGCCGAGGCGTAGCAGCCAGTGGAGGGAACGTGTCCGAGAAAGACTCCCGCCGCGGAGAGATGGCGCGATGAAATCAGCTTGTGCGCAGGTACGAGGTGGAACGTTACATCGCAGGACCATGAGAGATTGCGAGCGCTTGGGCAGGCCCTTCATCCAACAGCGGGGCTGACCACGGTTAGTGACGACGCTACGTGTTGGCACGGGCAATGGTAACGTCATGCCGTGGGCCTCCTATGTGAGGCAATGGTAACGTAGATAATGCCGTGAGGCCTCCTATGAGGCAATGGTAACGTAGATAATGCCGTGAGCCTCCTATGTGAGGCAATGGTAACGTAGATAATGCCGTGAGCCTCCTATGTGAGGCAATGGTAACGTAGATAATGCCGTGAGGCCTCCAATGTGAGGCAATGGTAACGTAGATAATGCCGTGGGGCCTCTTATGTGAGGCAATGGTAACGTAGATAATGCCGTGAGGCCTCCTATGTGAGGCAATGCCACAACGGCACTGCGGGCAACAAAATAATAAATTCGTCTGCCAAGCCGTCGTTCAGCTCCCCCGCAGAAGTGTGGGAGCAGAGGAGTGGGGGGGGGGGGGGGCTATGGCCTTATCCCAGCCAATCGAAAACGAATTGCATTAAATTTTTTACCATCCCCACAGACCGCAGTCGTTTAAAGCGTCCGTTTTTGTGGTGGTTTTTTTCCTCAAATGCATCTAATCTCCACGCACATTTTGACTTGAAAGAAACATTAAGTAAATACTAAGCATCTCTACCCACCAAATCCAGTGAAACCACGAAACACTCTCGACGAGGCATGAATTGCTAATCTGAAAGGAAAGGGCAAAGCAATTGCGTAATTGAAATCCGTTGGCCTAGCCGTTGCCATGTACCCGAATATTCTAAACTTAATGACAAAAGTGACGTGCTCTTCTCTCGACGTGGTTGGGCGAACGAGCGTTACGTTTCTCTTTTGTTGTTGTTGTTGTAAAGTGGCACAGCAGGGCTGCACCTATGCCTTTCTGCTTCATCTCAGGAAACGGAGGCCAACAGGCACAATAGTAATAAAATTGAGAAGACGATAAAAAAAGAAGTGGCTCGCAAAAACTGGTCTCCTGGTTCCCCAGAATGGAGTTTCGATTCAATGAGCCAGAATAAATGAACTTTGGTTCCCACTGATTGAGACTTTGAGGAGGGCGCGTCGCCAAGGCCCCGGCCCACGCACTTAAAGCGTTACCCTTGCCAAGATTGAGTCGGCTACTCATTAACTGGCGTTTTGATATGGGGTTTCCCATTGAATGCGTTAAATGTCAGCTTTCGAAGTTAACTAACAAATTCTAGATTTGAAGCTTTCGTGACTGCAAGGATTCATACTCTTAGTTTTTTCGCTAAAGTCACGTAGGTAAAAAAAAAATTAAATAAAAATTAATAAAAATCAAATAATAAAAATCACGACGTTTCCGAGGCAACACAAGTCTCCGTCATCAGATGGGACCGTCACAGCCAGATTTGCTGTATCAAGTGAGGCAGAGATTCCAAGATGCAAGTTCTTAAATACCAAGTTAAGGGGGAGGGGGGGGGGGAGCTTATCAGAATGTGGTAGCCAATGAAACGTCGTGATTTTTATTATTTTATTTTTATTAGTTTTAATTTTATTTTTTTACCGAAAAAACTAAGAGTATTAACTAACAAACCCGATAAAGAAACTAAAAAGACAAACACGGTACCCCAAAGCGTTGCACGAGGCGGCCGCTTATAAATAAATCAGATTACACTTACGCATGATAATATAAACATAAGTGAAGTATGGCATATAGATTGAAAATTTAAATATCAAATAGGAGCAAAGAAAATATAATTTCAATTTACTCCATATCTGCACAACAGACCTTTTGTAGCAGAACTTTTGTTTGAAGCCCAACCCATGTATTTTTTTGTTTACTTCACAAGTGCTGAACATATAAATGAACGAACACAAGGAATTAAATGAGGATGATATTCTTAAATGTGACCAAGTAGGTGAACGCATCACGGATAAGCTAATTGAAAGATGAGGAGTATTCTACCCTGCCGATATCTAGAGGACACAATCTGTCTTGGCGCCTCAAGACGTACTGCATGGGAGGCACGGTATATTAGTTCAACGATGATGATGATGATGGACAACAAAGAGTGATAACAGCTTGGGCAGGCTAGCAGTGGATAGATCAAGTCTGATGGTCATTATGAGTGTAATGCACTGGCAACGGTGGCGTCAGCTGTGACTAAGAGAAGATTGCAACAGTAAGATGACAACATCCTTAGCACCGTCAAACATCATTTATCTTCATCATCATCATCACCCATAATCTGCATTATTCCACAGATGTTAAATCAGCAGTGAAAATGAGCCACTCATTAATGCTGAATTAGGTTCCAACCCCAATCCTACCCTTGCAGCTCATCCTCAATTAACAATATGGAGTCATTTGTCAGACATGTAACAGTTGGATTAATTTGTGTTTTGTCAAGAGAATTTCTGCAGATGCCTCCCGTTTCTATTCGTAGGGCACAAGCTGCGTGCTTTATAAAGACTGTGGCAAGGACGCGACACGGTATCGTATGGCAGCAGAAACTGCAATGACTTTTGCCACATCTAGAACAGATTACAATGAGTTTGTGGCATAGCATACACTATAACTGGGCTTGCACGTACACACGACAAAACACCAAATCGCAAAGCAGTCAAGCCACATCTGGTTCATCAGACTGAGGTCACTGCCAAATCAAACCTGTTACACTGGGGTCAGCGTACATACACACACAATAGCCAATTTAATTGGGCACTTCTACACCATTAACGAACACTGCAACCGCTACGTAAAAATCCACCTAATTGTGCGGATTGTATAAAATAATTAAATATAGCGGCTTGTCCGGATTTGCTATAAAACAGGGAGGGAATACAAAAAAAAATGTGATAAATTAAGTTCCAGACCTTGATCTGATCGGCTGTTTTCAGGGTCTTCCGCCATTAGATCCGTGTTCCCGTTTGGTATCTGCTCCCTGCGGGGCGTAGCTTTGATGGGGACCACGGGTTGACCATCTCTGCTCGTCCAATGCAGAGCACACGCAAACAAACACACCAACCACACTCTCTTGTTAACACCGGCCAAGAAAAATGAAGCAACGGTTCAATTATTGTAAAATGCTTTGATGCGTTTCATTACATCTGCAAATTGGACTCTCAATAATGATGAAAAAAACACATTCCGTTAACTAATAATGGAAAATGTAAACATTGAAAAATGTTTTGACAGTTGTGCTGTATAGCTCTTCGATGTGATTTGGGATTTAACCATGTGATGCTTGACATGATGTCCAACATTTCGCTCGCTCTGAGAACTTCTAATTATGATCATCGGTGTTTGAGATTGCCCGTGCAGTGTGCATTTCCTTTGACGTTTTGCTTAGTTTGTTCACCAGGAGTGGAAACGGGCATATACGTTGAACTTCTTCATACAGTGCGTGGCCAACTGCGCGAATCGGAGGTGCAGAGTAAGGACAAACTAATCACTAAAATGGTTCTAAAGAAATTCGTTTTCAATATAGTTTTAGCTCGAGTGGCTTCCTAATATCGGAGGAGTGTTCCAGATGATCCAGAGAAGCGCATCTGAAAGCGCGCAACGCAGTCACCGTCTCTGTTCGACGGCTCATCAAAAGCCGCCGCTGCGAGGACAACCAGAGTTCGCGTGATGGTTTATGCTCCTTGACGAGATCAGGGAGGTCACAGTCAGTGGTTCATTTGCGGCAAGCGTTTCGTGTGTAACGAGCGCAACCTCGCAACGTATTCGTACGCCGACCGGAAGGCAATGCAGCTCGGCGAGAAACGCGCGCGCTTGCCCGTCACCTGGTGGCTTTGACGAGAATCTCTCCGTCGGCGCTGGAGATGGTGTGCTGTGCCTCGGCCAGCGTCATGCCCAGCACGCTGACCCCGTTGACGTAATGAACGCGGTCGCCGGGCGCCAGGCTGCCCTCGGAGGCGGCGGCCGAGCCGGCGTCAACGCCGCCCACGAGCACCGCCTGGTGCGGGCTGCCGATGCCCCCGCACAAGCTCAGACCTACGCACAAAGATAGAGAAACCCCCCCACCACCGTGTAGCCTCAACAGACCCGTGGGGCAAGTGCTGTTGGCGAGTAGCACCTACGGAGACCTGGACGGCACACGAGGGGGGTGGTGTGGTCACCGCCACGCCTTTGTCTCCCCAGTTGCCGATGTTTACACACCGCACCAGGTACTCATTTAAGGCTGAGTCGGCCAAGGAGAGGCCCAGGACTGCTTAAAATATTCGCCACTGATGTTGGTCGTGAGTGGAAATCGAACTCGGGGTTACCGGGTTCATGGCACAGCGCACTATACACGACACTAGTGATCCCCAGTAGTGTATAGCACAGGCATTGCAAGCCCAACACGTGTCTTCATTTTAAACGTGGGGCGATGACATGGGCCCAGCGGTAGGGCGTTTGGTGCAGAGGTTCACGGCTTGAGCCCGGCGGCCGCCCTGGTTGATACCGTGGGTGCATTAACTAGGAATGTACGCCGCTGCCTGCTTCACGGCGGATGTGAAAGATCCTGTGACGTCATTTCGAAAAAGCGTGGGGCCGTGTGTGACGGCGTCACAGTGCAAAGTTTAGAAAATGACCGGCGCGTATTACTTTGTTGGGAAACATCACAGAGCAACGTCGCCCCAGCCGGGCGACTCCCTCTCAGCGGCAGCACCTTTTGCGATTTTCTCCACACCTCCGATTAGCACGGTTGGCTACGTACGTACGGCGCGAAAGAAATTCAACATACGTACATGCAAACACGCATCGCACCCGCGCTACAAGAATGGCGCAAATGCTACATTTACGCAAATTATCATTTATCACGATCGTCAGATGCCGAGCAGAGTCGCACGCGGGGTGGGTTGGGGGGGTGGGTCTCGCGCACCAGCCAGGCCCTTCTCCTTGGGCTGCAGGACGATGGTCGGCAGCGTGTGTGCCGGCGGAGGCACCCCCAGGTTCTTCAGAGCCCTGCCAACCACGAGCGTCACCGACTGGGGCGTGGAGCGTAGCATGGCCACCGCGCGGGGGTAGGTCATTTCGGCCACCTCCACTCCGTTCACCTGGCGGAAGTCATCGCAGATGAGCGGCGCGTCACAGCCGTCTCTCTCCCGTGCTCGACGTTTCCCGGGGTCAAGCCGATAACTTCGTTAATACCGGGCCCACTAGCGTGCGATCCCACTGCCCGCAAGGTCGGCACCAATTGCCGATCCTACCGGTAAAGACTCATGGCAATGGAGAGCGGTGGCAGCGACTAGCACACTGTACCGTGAACCCGCTGAGCCGACATCGATTTTCGGTTCAGCGGTGAATGATATCTGAACCGGTGATGGCCTCCCACCAACCGCCCCCCTTTCACTAATCCACACTGACCATTGTCGCACCACCGATTAGCAGGGTTGGCTACGCACAGTGCGAAAGAAGTTCAACATACATAAACATGGTCAAACAACCTCCTTAACCAGCCGTGGGGTTGACAAAGGCCTTTTTAGTTCTCTAATGTACATTAACGTATAAGACATGATGATGCAGGCAGTGATGAGAAGGAAACTGGCACGATTTGGACACATATGTAGGATAGACAACAACAGGAAAATTTAAAAGTTTGTTGTTGTTGGTCGGAAAAATGGAAAGAACCGGAAAAAGAGGAATACCTAACAGAGAACGGCTTAATGACGACGACGAAGAGATTGGTGCCAGAAAGATGTGGCCACAACTTGAGCATATTGTCACAAGACAGACGAAAGTGGAAACAAATGACGAAATGTGCAGTGGACACCTACGGGCTACCTGCCCATGGATCGTGACGATGATGAGGATGATGCATTAACGACAACACTGCCGCAGGACGAGCCACGGGTGTGCCGTGCGTGCGGCGAGTCGCGTAGCTCACGGCGATGAGGCGGTCGCCGGCCCGCAGCCTCCCGTCGCGCAGCGCCGGCCCCTCCACCACCTCGCGGATGTAGGCGGCGCCGTCCTCAGTGCCCCTCGTCACGGTGAAGCCGAGCCCCTCGCCGGGCCCCTTCTCGAGCGTCAGCTCCACCTCCACCTCCTGCCGCCGGGGAGCGCGAGGACGCGCGATGAGGGCGGCGGAAAAACCGTCGGCGTGAGCGTCGCGCGAGGAGGACATCGGGGTAGAGTTAAAAAAAAAACATCGGCGTGACCATCAAACTCGCGGCTGCACGAGCAGCGGCTGCACGAGCAGCAGCTGCACGGCTACGCAGTCGTGTCCGTCACTGCATCCAGACGTCAAGTAGTGCAACGTTTAAATAAGCCTTTCCCATTCCGATGACGCACGTGTACGTCGTCGGTTTTTCTTCAGATTCTATCGCAGAACCGGAAGAAATTTTTTAATTAAATAACTTCATCGGTACCGAGGCTCCCACAAGGCCATGCGGGGAGGGCGTGTGGCACAGTTTGACGCAAGCTATAAATAGAGTGCAGCGGTCGTGTTGCTACGGTTCTCTGTGGTGAGTACAATGTCCTTAAAAACAACGGCGCTACGCCTCTCTAAATAAAATGAACGCTAACCATTTACTCGTTCTGAGATTCGACGGTGAACGGGACACCCACCCTGCAACTTGCAGACGTCTCGGAAACGAGAAAGGGCTATAACTGTCTCCATCACAAACCTGCACCGCACGCGCGCGCGTTTGCGCGAAACCGCGAAAATCAACGAACGTGCACGGCGTAGAAACCTACCGGAGCGTACTCCTCAAACTCTTCATCGCACTCATCCTCGTCGTCGACATCGACCCACGGCCCAGCCTCCCTGCCTGCGTCGCGCTCCACGACGCCCGCTCCTCCGCTCGGCGGCGGAGCGCCGTCCGTCTCCTCCCAGGGAGTGGTGCGCTCCTCCGCAGCCTCGGCAATGGACTGGTAGAGCGAGGGCGGCTCGGAGCGGTCCAAGTTGGTGTCGCGCGATGGCGGAGGGGGGGTGAGCGAGGCCTCGCTGGAGCTGAGGTAGGCCTGGTCGAGGGGCGTCGGCGAGGGCACCTCGGGGAGATACCGGAAGCCGGGGGATGGCGCGGGCAGTGTGAACGAAGACCTTGGAGGGGTTGAGAAAGGGGCAGTGGAGGAAAAAAAGATTGTTTGTACATTAGACGTATAGCATATGGGGAGAGATCGCACAGTGGTTGAGCGTTTTTGGGTGATGAAGCTCGATAACGGACAGGCGAGTTAAATTCCCGGCCACGGCCAAGATCAGTAGAGAGTGAAGCCTGAACCAGTCCCGGGAAACTCCCTGCCTCCTTCACCAACCCACACTAACCAGCGCTGGGAGGCCTTTATCCAACAGTGGATTGATAAATTAGTATAAATGGGTACAAATATGTACAGTGTATGTGCATGGGCTTTAACGAGGAGAGACAAGAAGAGCGTAAAAAAAACGCACGTCTCAGACATCGTGTGGACAAGTGGGTCTGGGCAGAGGACACAATCGTTAGGAGGGATGATGGCCGATGGCGGAGATCGGTGAAGCAGTGGCAGCTCAAGCAGAGAACGTGCCCAAGAGGATGACTACCGGAGAGATGGAGCGACGAGATGAGTTAATATGCGGGAGCGATATGGAGCGTGGTATTGCCAGAGAAAAATGGGCCATGGTGAAGCCGTGGGAAGACTTTTACTCAGCAGTGGACAAACATTGCCTGATGACGCGGTGTACTGAATGTGCGCGTTTTAAATGTTTATAAGATATAGCTTAAGAGTGACCAAATGTAACGAATGCGTACAAGTCACACGAAAAAATATTCCAGGTTTGAGAATACAGCAATTAACAAAACACATACGCAAGGGAGATCAGTGTCAAAGGAAGGTGCGGCGATGGTCAAATGATTCGAGCACAACTGCAGCCACAACACTGATTGGGATTTTGACAAAAACGACGAAAATCATTTCACCAAAGGACAAATTCAATAGCACATACCTTAGCATAAAAATGTAACTTTGGTATCTGCCGGTGACATTGCGCTTTTTATATTTTCCATGTCTGCTCCACCACTGCCCTCTACTGGCAACACATTTAGATGTCAGCCACCAACCGGTCCGACGCTCCCTGCGCACCCGACTCTTCAGCCACTCGTTACCCAGTATGCAATAAAGGCCCCTTAGCCAGCATGCCACGCAGGATTCGGTGATTTTGAGTCAGTCCTTACCCAGTGTGCACTGAGGATCACTATCCGAAAAGTAAGTTGGCTTGGACCGGATAACATCGTGGCAAGGGAAGATGGGCGATGGTCAAGAATCATGACGGAGTGACCAACCATGGGAGGAACTCGCCCTAGAGTGACGTCAACCACGGAGCTGGAGCGATGAAACCAGCTCACGTGCAGATCCATCATTGGCTTTAGGAGACAGTTGACGAGGTAGGTGACAAGGAATGTGACGACGACGACGATGGCCGTTCTGGATCAGTGAATCAGCCGCTCCTTACCCAGCGTGCACTGTGGCGTTCTTACCCAGAGTGCCCAGCTGGATGCCGCTTGGCGCCTTTCTCCCTGGCGGCGGCAGCAGCGCCACCGCCGTCGGAATCGTACTCGGTGCTGTCGCTGTAGCTGTCCCTGCGCGTGGGCGTGCGGGCGGCGCTCCCGCTCCCGTCCAGGCCCTCGTCGTCCCAGTGGCCGTGCGCCACCGCCGACTCTTCGATCTCGTAGGGGCCGCACGTGGCGAGGCTGGGGTGGGGTGTGGGCGTGCTGCCCGCCTGGCGGGGCGCCGGAGTGTTCATTCGGCTCAGATCCTTCACCGGGGAGCCGATGGGGCTCTGGGAAAAGGGAAAAAAAAATTTCAACAAAAAAACGCGGCACGCGTCCAAAAAGCAAAAAACTACGCATACAAGGTGTGCCTAAATTTTCTATTCCTCCTCCGTTGAAAGAGCGCAAACGACAGTGGTTTACTGAAGTGGTTCACAGTGGAGTTTACATGGCCACAATTGCACTACTGTGGGTTGCCTTTAATATATCTCTGTGTTTTTCTAAGGGTCTCTATGTATCTCTATGGGTCTCTATGCATCTCTATGGGTCTCTATGCATCTCTATGGGTCTCTATGTATCTCTTTGGGTCTCAATGTAAATCCATAGGTCTCTATGCATCTCTATGGGTCTCTATGTATCTCTATGGGTCTCTATGTATCTTTTTGGGTCTCAATGAAAAGCCATAGGTCTCTATGCATCTCTATGGGTATCTAAGTATCTCTATGGGTCTCTAAGTATCTCTATGGGATTACTATATGGCCGGCCCATCGTTTTGGGCCACGGCTGTGGCTGACCATGAGCGACGGGTCGACTTCAGGGAGGGCGCTCGGCTCCGGGCGGCACAGCAGCAGGGAGACGTCGTCGCTCGTTCCCCGCAGCACGGACAGCACCGCCTGCAGCGTCGTCGCACGCGCGAGGACCCCCCGTCACACACACACACGCGCGCATGGCATCGCGGTCCTGGATTCTCCACTGGGAGCTATGCACATTTTTGTGTTGAGTTTTTTCCTTCCCCCGCACCTCCGATTAGTGCAGACGGCTACATACGGTGCTAAATAGGTTCAACGTACACACACACATGTGCGATTCACCCGTAGGGGCACACAAGGGCAGTTCTACAATTTGGGACATACACCGTGTCTCCCTGTCCCCGTGTCTCAGCCCTCCCTGTCCCCGTGTCTCGGCATCTCCCTGTCCCCGTGTCTCAGCTCTCCCTGTCCCCGTGTCTCAGCATCTCCCTGTCCCCGTGTCTCAACATCTCCCTGTCCCCGTGTCTCAGCATCTCCCTGTCCCCGTGTCTCAGCATCTCCCTGTCCCCGTGTCTCAACTCTCCCTGTCCCCGTGTGTCTCGGCATCTCCCTGTCCCCGTGTCTCAGCATCTCCCTGTCCCCGTGTCTCAGTCTCTCCCTGTCCCCGTGTCTCAACATCTCCCTGTCCCCATGTCTCAGCATCTCCCTGTCCCCGTGTCTCAGCATCTCCCTGTCCCCGTGTCTCAGCATCTCCCTATTCCCGTGTCTCAGCTCTCCCTGTCCCCGTGTCTCAGCATCTCCCTGTCCCCCTGTCTCGCCTCTCCCTGTCCCCATGTCTCAGCATCTCCCTGTCCCCGTGTCTTAGCATCTCCCTGTCCCCGTGTCTCAGCATCTCCCTATCCCCGTGTCTCAGCTCTCCCTGTCCCTGTGTCTCAGCATCTCCCTGTCCCCGTGTCTCAGCATCTCCCTGTCCCCGTGTCTCAGCTCTCCCTGGCCCCGTGTCTCAGCTCTCCCTGTCCCCGTGTGTCTCGGCATCTCCCTGTCCCCGTGTCTCAGCATCTTCCTGTCCCCGTGTCTCAGCTCTCCCTGTCCCCATGTCTCGGCATCTCCCTGTCCCCGTGTCTCAGCATCTCCCTGTCCCCGTGTCTCCCTGTCCCCGTGTCTCAGCTGTCCCCGTGTCTCAGCTCTCCATGTCCCTGTGTCTCGGCATCTCCATGTCCCCGTGTCTCAGCATCTCCCTGTCCCCGTGTCTCAGCATCTCCCTGTCCCCATGTGTCTCGGCATCTCCCTGTCCCCGTGTCTCCGCCGTGTCGTCTCGACGCGTGCGTCCCAACCTGGTGCGAGAGGCCCTTGAGGGGGATGCCGTTGACGCGGAGGATCACGTCGCCGGGGAGGATGCGGGCGCTCGCGTCCGCCGGCTGGCCCGGGAAGAGCCGCTTGACGCGCACTACGGTGCGCACGGCCTCCGGCGAGCCGGGGTCCGTGTCGCCCATGAAGCTGAACCCCAGGCCGCCGACGCCCTTCCTCAGCAGCACCTCGAACACGTTGTCTGCGCGCAACGCGGGCGGAGGGCAGGGGGCGGGTGCGCAGCGACGGGGGTCCCTCGTTCAATCGAGGCGGTAAGCTCGTTCGAACGGCGACGTCGCTTCGCATTGACGCAGGCCCCACCACCCCTGCCCCTTCTCCCTCGTAGCGTGGGAGATGATGGAGGGGGCTGATCCCCCTCCCTCTTAAAGGCCCCCCTTTTGAAATCATATAAGTAAAAATACGTGCCGTAGTTTTTATAATCGAGCGACGGATGTCGCAACATTTTACTTTTCTGATACACACATGGGACGAGACGCATGATGGAGAAAAGCAGATCGCATCTTTACTTGTTCCGTTGAGCGTTTAGAATTGACCGTATTGTGCCTCCCCCCCCCCCCCAGCCAGGGTGGGTGTAGTGTAGCAGTGTGCCCCCGAAGTTCGCTCCAGGTGAGCTCCTCACTTAGAGTGATGCTGCACACACAAGTTGCGAGGCACATAACGCGATAATTCATCGGTTAAAAGAGATTCTTACGCTCGAGTTACGTGCGTCGAGTTGCGGACGTGAGAGTGTAATTGCTTGCTATGAATGGACATCGCGTGAGAAAAAAGTATTCTTAAGTTACAATGAATCTAATTGACAGCACTAAATTGTGCAAATGAGAAAAACAAAAAGTTTAAACAATACAAACGGGACGGGAAAAATGAGCCAAGAAGAGATTGCCCCCCGACTCGTGATATTCAATAAAATCACTAGAGGAGTTAATTCTTACTTGCCTGCAAATTAAAGCATTCCTTTAAGAATGGTTTAGCTCCATTGGAACCTCATTTGCCAGTAACACATGGTGTTGGACCAGATGACGCTAGTCTCACATGGTGTTCGACCAGATGACGCCAAAAGGCGCACACTGTGAGACTAGGCTCTAAAGAAAGCTGTCTCGGGTGTGGACCAATCAATTTCAAGGACAGTGCATACATTATCAGAGTTATGTTTTTTGTTTGCATTCCGACAGCAGGTATTGTGGTCAATGTAAATATGACTCCTTGTAAAAAAAAAGTGTCAGTTTTGTTGCCAGATAAAAGGGTAAAAAAACAATTATCAATGGTTTAGCTCTTCCTGCATTAAGCTGCAAAGTTGATCATAACGTGTACCAGTACAGGACACGGTATAGGCAATTGTTGTTGTCAGAATAAATGATTAAACGAATATAATTTAGTTGTTAGAAGCATGTCAAGCCAAATAAAACATTAATTATCTAACCACAAATTAACCCGATAGGAAGAACACTAAGCAGTGGCTGTGATGCTTCTGTGCTGGGCTGCTCACTCTCCGTCACGAAGCTGTAGTACTTGAAGTCTCCCGCCTCTGTCCAGCGCTTCACTTGAGAATTGGGGGACAACTCCCTGCTCGTCGAGGTCTGCAATCCAGGATTGGAAACATCTTCAAAGTCTTCCAGCTGAGCGCCACATTTCTCCAGCACCAGGCACACCATTTGCTGAAAACAGAATGAGACGAGCTTCATTAAGATGAACGATTACGTATGCATGTAGAACTTCTTTCGGACCGTACGTAGCCAACCGAGCAAATTGAAAGTTACGCGTAATGAATAGGTCTGTAAGAACGCGGCGTGTGCGTTTTATAGGCCCCTGCCGTAAATTGTTAGCGTGGATTATCTGTGCGACGCGTCTGCGGGCTGTGCCGCGTGTTGTTCGGCAGGGTGCCCAACGTTTCGCTCCACCTGCTGAGGAACTGAATTCAATTCCTGTAGAAGCTCCCGGCGCATGCAGCGAAGCATCGGACATCGTGCCGAACGACGCGCAATACTACCCCGAAAACAAAGTCGGAGAGCAAAACGGCACCACCGCAAAAAAAACCTACAAATTACCTTTATCACAAGTTACCTTTCATGACATATTGACGTCATAAAACCTCAAAACAAATACGAAACCATCAAATTCAAAGTTGTCTAGACATTTCACGCAAAGTAAAGTTGTGAGACCATAATGGCAGTAATCGACGGCACAATAAAGCAACAATATTCCACCTGGACGTGATCACAATCTGAGTAATGACTGCGGAATTCAAGTGGTAAATTGAAATATCCTTCCCACGCACGTCCTTGAATGTGATCCTACATGATCAACACAGTCACCAGAAAGCCACGCTACTCTGTAAATAGTGCAGTCCTTTATGGCATGCATAAAAAGCCAATGACTCGTTTTCAGTTTTTTGGTTTTTCATTTTTACACGCCCTTTATGACGGGCAACGAATGGATTGTAAAACCGTATAAATGTTATAGGTACCAATTTAAACAAACTTCAAACTTCCGCGCAAATACTGAGCCATTCCCAAAATTGAAAAGCCGTTCAAATGGTCGTGCAATATTCTGCCTACTGATGGCTAAATGTTGTTGATCTGCCGAGTGCCTTCCGGTCTGGTGTTCATTAGGGATGTAATAATTCATCACCGCCTGTGTTTTAAATCACGTACACATTTCGCAGACCATTATCAATCCGCTGCCGAATGAAGGTCTCCGCATGCAGTTTGTTCTTGGGGGTTGTTTGACCATACTTCACCCCACTGGTCAAGGGGAAACCAGAACTAGTTCGCACATCACTTGCCTCTGATGCTCGCGCCATGGCCGGGGAATCACACACATGTCACCAGATTCAAATCAGAAGGACCATCATTACATGCCAAGTAACTGCCACAGTCATTGTGCGAAGACGGGATTGTTTTGTCAGTGCGTTGTCGGACCTCCTCCGTCTTGCGAAGAGTCTCCACGGCTTGCTTGTGCGTGACCGAGTGCATGCTCACTCCGTCCACCTCCAGCAGCCGATCGCCTTCAAAGCGGCGGCGGAAACACAATCGGATCATTCATTCATTCGTTCGTCATCAATATCAGCCACGATCAATCCACTGCTGGAAGAAGGCCTACAGCAAGCCGCAACAACATCTCTCACGGTGCTGCGATGTTAGAAGCTGATTTCCTCACTCCAACTCCGCAATGGACATACTCTCAAGCACGATACACACATGGGATGCTGCTGTAGGAAGACATCCTTGGTACCCCACTGACTCCTAACTAATCAGATGAACAACTCGAAGATTCCCATTGTAGTTTATGAAGATCCTTCTAGACTTCAAACTTTTATACATTCCAAACTAAACTAAACGGTTTTTTTTAATTATTATTATTATACCAGGTAAGGCCCACTGAACTATGTAGCTATTATTCAGAAGCAATCTGGCCACAAATGATAGCCCAACGAAGTGGCGAATCATGTGGAAATGTATAGCAGCCAAATACTCTTAAGCATACGTTTCTAAAAGTGAAGGGAAAAGCCGGAGGATGCGAAGAAAAATCCACACAATCACAGGGAGAGAGAGAGACACGCAAACTCCATTCCCGAACTCACCGTTACCTTTTGATCACCCCACACACTCTCCACTCCAGTACAACGTATCGTACCTCCGATTAGCACGGTCGGTTACGTACGGTGCGAAATAAGTTCAAAATAATCTTGGTTCTTTCGGTAAAGTCACGTAGAAGGGAAATAATGCAACACAAGATATCATCATCATGTGTGAAAACTACAGCAAGAACATTTTTAGCTGTAGTTTTCACACCTGATGATGATTGCTTGTGTTGCAATTGAAACGTCGTGAGAATTTTATTGTTTTATTTTAATTATTTTATTATTTCCCTTCTATGTGACTTTACCGAAAGAACCAAGAATATGAATCCCTGCAGTCACGAAAGCTTTAAATCGAATTTAAGTTCAAAATCGTACATACATCCAACTGGGATGCTCTAACATCTCTGGTGTCAACCTCCGCTCAACAGGCGGTTGTTGCTCCTTCTTTCCAGGTGCTCAACCCTCCCGCCAGCAGCCCCACACTGAGCGCTCCCCTCCCTAAGTTGAAACCCAACCTCAGAAACCCACCTCCGTAACCCGCAGAGGCAATAAAAAGGTTTAAAACATTTGTACTTTTTACACGCTTTCTATTAACTCACTCTGTTGTTGTTGTCGTTGTATCCTCAAATATTGTAACTCAATAATAACCCACTTCCCAATGTGGTATTGACTGCAAACTTGGTATACTTATGTCATACTGATGACAATACTATATTATATCATTAAAAATATATATTTTTAAACATTATTTTTATATGTTATGTTTCGTCTTGGGTCTAATTGTCCACGCTCAACTGACATTGGCTGTAAATCACCACGGTCCCTTACGTTATGGCAAGCTGCGGGGCCACTTCCTGGAGTCGTGGAGTTCTTCCATTACTAGTAGGGTAGATTTCATTAAAGCGGCTTTATAAAAAAAGTTTATTTAAATATTACATATTTAATCTTGACAAGAGCCCGGTACGGGGTGCGAGCAAAAAAAAAAGGAAGGGGGGGCCACAGGAATCCCCCCCCCCCCCCTCCACCGAAATGCGGTGTCCGTGGGTGGGGTGAAAGGGAGTGAAATGAGGTCGTCGCTACCCCACTAGCGCAAGGACTACAGGTTGGAGCACGGATACTTTCCAAGGGGAAGGTGAAAGGAACAAAAGTTAAGGGTAAACAAGGTGGGGTGTAGGGGGTTGGGGGAAGGGGCAGGGGGGGAGGGAAAGAGTGTACACAAACAAAGTCTAACTTACCGCGTGAAAATGTTATTGTTTTTAAACCTGTACGTTCGTCGAAACGCAAATGCATAATTGCCTGCCGCCGTAAAAAATGGAACATTGAATGATACACACACATTGGGCAAGTCTCAAGAGAATGACGCGTGTTCTTGCATGCACCCACGTGCCTCTGCTCATAGTTTATACATTGCAGACATCTCGACAAAAGGCCCGGTAACATTTTCCCCTTGGCAATTACACAAAGCGTGTGACTGCAGCTGCCAGACTTCGCCGAGTAATTACAACCGTGTATGCATGTCGCTTGAAAATGACAAGCAGTGGAGAATAATCTTAGGTTACATTTCATGTGTATGTTATAATGTTACATATTATAAGTCTATGGTTTAATGAGCATATGTTATGTTAGGTGTTATAATAAGTGCATGTTATCTTCTTGGTTCTTTCGGTAAAGTCACGTAGAAGCGTGAATTTACCGAAAGAACCAAGAAGATGAATCCCTGCAGTCACGAAAGCTTTAAATCGAAATTTAAGTGCATGTTATGTTACATGCTTTAATGGTATATGCGATGAGTGTATGTTATAATGGTACATGTGATGAGTGTATGTCAGAGGTTGCAACCGGGTACCCGATACCCGTACCTTACCCGATACCCGGCTATCCGTACCCGGCCGGGTACGGGTACGGGAACCCGTTTGCGACCCTGGTGCGGCCGGGTACAGGTACGGGTAGACCGTGAGTCACTGGTGAGTAACCGTTTGCCACTCATTTCCCAACGTCTTGTCTCTTCTCACAATTCAAGTTCCTAGAATCAACCCACCCACGCCTGCAACATGGTTTCATCCCAGAGATCGCAATCAGGTACCCGATACCCGTACCCTACCCGTACCCGGCCGGGTACGGGTAGGGTACGGGTACGTGTACCCGTTTGCGACCCTGGTGCGGCCGGGTACGGGTACGGGTAAGGAATCAAAACCCGTTTGCGACCTCTGGTGTATGTTATAATGGTATATGTGATAATGAGTGTATGTTATAATGATATATGTGATAATGAGTGTATGTTATAATGGTATATGTGATATTGAGTGTATGTTATAATGATATGTGATATTGAGTGTATGTTATAATGGTATATGTGATATTGAGTGTATGTTATAATGATATATGTGATATTGAGTGTATGTTATAATGGTATATGTGATATTGAGTGTATGTTACAATGATATATGTGATAATGAGTGTATGTTATAATGGTATATGTGATAATGAGTGTATGTTATAATGATATATGTGATATTGAGTGTATGTTATAATGGTATATGTGATATTGAGTGTATGTTATAATGATATATGTGATATTGAGTGTATGTTATAATGATATATGTGATATTGAGTGTATGTTATAATGGTATATGTGATATTGAGTGTATGTTATAATGATATATGTGATAATGAGTGTATGTTATAATGATATATGTGATATTGAGTGTATGTTATAATGATATATGTGATAATGAGTGTATGTTACAATGGTATATGTGATAATGAGTGTATGTTATAATGGTATATGTGATAATGAGTGTATGTTATAATGGTATATGTGATATTGAGTGTATGCTTTAATGGTATATGTGATAATGAGTGTATGTTATAATGGTATATGTGATAATGAGTGTATGTTATAATGATGTATGTGATATTGAGTGTATGTTATAATGATATATGTGATATTGAGTGTATGTTATAATGATATATGTGATATTGAGTGTATGTTATAATGATATATGTGATATTGAGTGTATGTTATAATGATATATGTGATATTGAGTGTATGTTATAATGGTATATGTGATAATGAGTGTATGTTATAATGATGTATTTTGTGATACGCACCTTTCTGGATCTGCCCATCACGATCCGCGGCTCCGCCTGGCACGACGGCCTTGACGTAAATTCCGCCGTGCCTCACCGTCGTATTGACCCCACCCTGTCAAAACGAACATTGCAATAACACTCTAGATTTGAAGCTTTCGTGACTGCAAGGATTCATATTGTTGGGTTTTTTCGGTAAAGTCACGTAGGTAAAAAATTTCAGCAAAATAAAAATCACGACGTTTCGGAGGCAACACAAGCCTCCGTCTTCAGGTGGAACCGTCACAGCACGCACGCTGTATACTTGATACCTACGTGACTTTATTTCACTTTTACTTTTGGAGAAAGAAAAATATCCACAGGCATGTTGTATTCTCGGGTGTGTTTCACTCGTTAAAAGTTTACGCACAAGGAGAGGTGTTTTTTTTATGGCCGTTATCTTTGTTTTTATTTACACGGCTGGAAAATGTCATGGCTTACATTGTATCCTCTACTAATCTACGTGCAGCTCACACAAAGACAAAGATCCCCCGTACAGACTTAACAGACTGTTGAGGAAAGTGCTGCATGTGAGCACCTATGAAGGCCGGCACGGCACACGAGGGGGTGGGTGGCCAGCAGTACACGCCCGACCACCTTTGTCTCCCCAATGGCCATGTTTACACACCGCACCAGGTACTCATTTGCAGCTGAGTCGAGCTACGGGAGGCCCAGGAGCAGATAACCGTCACCGGTGTTCGCCACGAGAAGAAATCAAACTTGGGTCGCCGGGTTTTCTTAGTGTAGCATGCATACCACTGGGCCACCGCTCTCCAGCTCACACACGCAGACACGCTCTGTCTCTATAGCAAACATTCTACATTGACGTTCATTCATATTTAACTATGTTCTTTTTTGTTCTATTTTTTATTAGTTTTTTCTTGTACACAAGAACGTAGGCCTGTAGCAAAACGCTGGGTGACAGAAAATAACCATACGCGAGTTTCCGCCAGGCCTACGAACCTGACGCGTTCAGTTTGTTTAAGGGGGGCACTGTCAACCCAGGGGAGGGATATTTAACTATATTCTTATGCTAATTCTCAGGTCCTGTTTTTGGAAGTGTGCGTGCGTGTGTGTTTTTTAACCTCATGAAGCGATTCAAACAGAATAAACGCGTGCGAGGATGAATTTGTTTGTATATTTATCGACAATCTCACCGTGACGATGAACCCTAAGCTTCCGTCCTGCTTGTAGAGCTCCAGGGTGTAAACGTCCCCTGGCTTCAGGCCTCCATTTCCTTTCAAGGCCTGCACGCGCCCACACACAGTGGCAGGTCCACAAACGGTAACCCAAGCATGCCGATGAACAAGACGATCGGCATTGCCGTTTAGGCAGAAGTAGAACAACAGCAAGGAGATGCAGCGAAATACGTTGTTGTACTGTACTTCCGATGAGCACGGTTGGCTACGTACGGAGTGAAAGAAGTTCAACATACATACTTTTACTCCGCCATATCTATGCTCGCCACTTACACCAAATGCGCACTGACCAGTATTGTGAATAATTGTTTTTTTTTTACCCTTCTATCTGGCAACAAAACTGACACCTTTTTTTTTACAAGGAGTCATGTTTGCATAGACCACAATACCTGCAGCCATAATGCAAACAAAAAACATAACTCTGATGATATATGCACTGTCCTTGAAGTTGATTGGTCCACACCCGAGACAGCTTTCCTTAGAGCCTAGTCTCACATGGTGTTGGACCAGATGACGCCAAAAGGCGCACAACTCAAAGACAATGCACCATCAGAGTATGAGAGCTCGGGGTAAGCATTTACACCATTAGAACCTCAGATTCTCAAGTGTGGTGAGCTGATTGCCTCATCCTGTGAACCAACAACTGCACTAAACAAATTGCATAACATTTTGGCTCAGAGGGATACAGTGTATCAACATTTGGTGAATCACTAGCCTGCAGAAGTCTATGCTGGATTCGAGAGACCTATGCAAGTGAAATATTTGTCCGGTGTCCACTTCTGAGAGGTCATTCCCCGACGTAAGGTGGCTGCCGGAATTCTGGAAACGACTTTTCTTTGCCTCGTGATGTGACTCCAATCGGTGATAAAGTGCGAACAATGTTTCGTGAAAAAGCACAGTGTCTACAGATATTGAAAATAACCTGCTGAGAATAAACTTTACACTTCCTATTTATCTCATAACGGATATCTCGAGTAGCAGTCAAAGACTCTTTACAAATCCAAATTGTAATGTAAAACATAATGCAACGTAGAACCCCTCATCAATCCACTGCTGGATGAAGGATTTCCCACAATTTTCATTCATGTGGATTTTTTAACCACTCTTCGACACACTGGTCGCAGTGCTATGTGGGTGAAAGCAATCCCCACAGGGCCAGTTCAAGAGTTGACCGGCCACAAATGTTAACCGCAGTCGAGAACCACAGCACCACTGGTGCACCCCGCACGTCAAGGTTCAAATTGTAAAAAGCCTGCAAGGCAAATCGTCGACGGCAACCTGCGAAACGGCCGTTTACCTCGACTTTGCGAACCTCCTGCAGAAACGAGACTTTGCGGGATGAGGCACCCCCATCCGTGGTGTCGTCCCTGGCCGCCCTGCCTCCGCCGCCGCCACCGCCGCCACCCGTGGCCCTGTCGACGGCGGCGCTCGACTTGCTGCCGTCCGGCAGCATCCGCTCCAGGTCCTGCGGGCTCAGGCCTCTGTCGGCGACGGCGTGCGACGCCGGGTGCGCGTCGAACGGCGGCGGGCCCTGGTGCTGCTCGCTCTCCGTGCCGGAGACCTCCGAGCTCATGCTGTCCTTCTTCCTGTGCGTGGTGGCGGTGGCGGTGGAACGCCGCGCCGCGCTGCTGTGGCTCGGCCTCCTCTTGCCGTTGGGAATGAACACCGCCGCTTTTAACGCTGAGCCGGTGTCCGAGTGCCAAGCACCTGGGGGAATTGAACGCAAGGTAAAGCGATCTTGTCAAGCGAGTAAGAGGCTTTTCAGCAATTATTTGGAATTTACCACAGCTTATTTTCTTTGAAAAATATCTATCTATCTATAATTGGGAAGCCACTGAGGCAATGGACTTTTATATCTCGACTAAAAACTAATTCCTTTAGAACTGATTTTTGTTTAGTTTGTTGTCCTTCCCCCGCACATCCGATTAGCAGGGTTGGCTGTGTACGGTGCAAAAGAAGTTCAACATACACACATAAAGGTGCAGCCCTGCAATTGCTTGCCCACACCACCGCTGGCGGAAGAGCTTTTACTTGAAGAAGCTCTAAGAAGGTATTTGGCCTACTCTACCCACACTTTACACCACAGCACGCTACCTGCCGATCAACTCATTGTAGCGTATCCACATTGAGATTGTTGGGTGGACAGAGAGTTGGGGGAGGGGTTCAAGAAACGCGCACCATTGTTTCAACTGCCGCACCGGGAGTTCGAATCGGCGACATTTGGAATGCAAGTCCATTGTCCCAATGGTAGCAAAACTCTACAGAAGATGCCAAATGGGGAAGGTGGCATAAAGTGCCATTGGCGGGATTGGTGGAGGGGGGAGGGGGATGGGTCTAACCCCGAGCACCTTGGTTGAGCTGTTGGGGGTGCCTGGGCTGAGAGACGATGAGCATCACGTCGTCACCCGTTGACTCCAGGATGTGCAGCGCCGTCTCCAGCGACACCCCCTCCAGGCTCGTGTTGTTCACCGAGATGAGCCGGTCGCCTGGACGCCAGACAACCCGTCGACCCATTCCGCACTCGTTACACACACACACGAAGTGCCTGCCACAAGTGAACCTGCAATACCTTGCTGATCTCATCAAATAGCACAAACCGTCACGTGAACTCCGGTCATCCTCGCAGCGGCGGATTTTGGCTGGCGACCGAACAAAGACGGTCGCTGGCATTGCGCGCTTTTAGATGAGGCGTGTAAACAAAACACAGTCAATCGGGATGGGGGGGGAGGGGGCTCCTTCATTCAAGTGCCAACTAACCGGGCTTCAGCTGCGTGTTCTTATCAGCAGGACCCCCGGGGGTGATGGAGCTGATGAAAATGCCCAGGTCAAGTTGGCCCATGTCGTCCGCTCCGACGATGTCAAACCCTGCGCAAGAATCACGATTTCAAACACCCAACCGCAAAACATTCACGGTACAACTGCATCGGCGATTTACAGTTAACGCATCATTATCTGCGGGTGGACTTTCAGGGCTTGCGCAGTAACTCGCAATTGATAAGAAAAGAAACTGTTTTTTTACAAGTGCGCCAATATAACTATCAGCTGCTCCGCACGAGCGGTATGGCAGGTGAGTGATTACGTGACTACCAACATGTCATCAAGCGAACAAAGCAGCAACGAAGCGATACACACAGGAGGCAAGATTCAACGTATGTTGGTAAACAAAATTGACTTTGGTTTAACACGTAGGCTTTCGTGACCAATATAATCCATAATAGAGGTTTTTGGGTTAGATCGCGTGAATATAAATGTGTCGTTAAACCCGCCACCACCTGACACAGTCAATTTAGTAAGGTTTGTCACGTATACAAAACATGCCAATTCGTTACTAGTACAGCACACCGGTTGTGTTGGAGAGTAGTACAGCACCACCGGTGGTGTGTTGGGAAAGTAAGGAATTGGCATGCTTTGTTTCCATGACAAACCTTACTGATTGGCTGTGTCGGGTGGCGGCGGGTTTAACGACACATTTATGATTACGCAATATAAAGTGAATGGAAAATTCACTTTACAGCATAATTCACATGAGTTTTGCATCATCTGTAGTTTTCTTTTATACAGGTAACCCTTCCCCAGCTTTACCCTAGATAACCGAGAGCTGCGGTGTACAGCGCCGCAATAGGACCACATCTCCAGACACCGTAGAAAACAGGGGTAACCACAGCCGTCATCACGGGGCACAAAGGAGAATTATATAAACTGTGTATTAAATATATTTTGTTTAAGATGAGAGACAGGCACAGGCCCAAAAAGCTTCTTACAAAATAACTTGGCACGCACGACGCACGCAGCGCTGACCGGTGGCTTTCCACGAATTATTCGGACATTCAACAATGAACGAACAAAAACGTTCTCATGTAGCACGCCAGTTAGGCTGCCAGTTCGCGGAATTAGTGTTTTAAGTGAGTGTGCTAAAAAGCAGGCTTTCACTCGTTCTGGGCAAGCGCATTGATGAGTAAGTGGATGGTACAACTCTCAGCGCAAGAAAGAGCATCAATTTCTTCATGCCGCACGTTCGGTAAACTTAGCAAAATGTTGCGCTCAAGCGAGACCGTGCGTCGAAGAGTAACGAGCCAATAATAATACTCGACAATAACTGCTTCATCTTGCGCGAGGTGTATCCCCCGTACCATGTCAGAGCGTTAAACCAGACCCGGGCGACTCACTTCGGAAAAAAGATGTTAACACTACGTTACGTCCGTACATCCACGTACGGCTCTTTGTCAATCCACTGCTGGATGAAACTGTCAACACCATGTGGCCTGTGGGGTTGTTTTGGCCGTACTTTATCACGCTGGTCAGAGCAAGCTGATGAAGGCGGGCAGCGCTGTCGCGGGGGGCATATGAGTACAACAATTTATTCTACTGCACTGCCCTCTGCTGCCCTCAATGCAGAGGTCGCAAACGGGTTTTGATTCCTTACCCGTACCCGGCCGCACCAGGGTCGCAAACGGGTACCCGTACCCGTACACGGCTGGGTATGGGTACCCGTACGCTACCCGTACCTGTACCCTACCCGAAATGAGTGACAAACGGTTACTCACCAGTGACTCACGGCCTACTCGTAACCGTACCCGGCCGCACCAGGGTCGCAAATGGGTACCCGTACCCGGCCGGGTACGGGTAGCCGGGTATCAGGTAGGGTACGGGTATCGGGTACCCGGTTGCGACCTCTGCCTCAATGTAGCCCCATCGCCCGATGACACCATGTTTTATGCATGGTGGTCACCCATCCAGCACTATGATCATCTTTATTTAGACAGGAGGAATCCAGTAAGGGGCGGGCGTTCGAGCTCAATCCTGCCAGGCTTGCGAGGATCTGGAAAGACTTGGGTGCAAGTGCGGGCCATTTGGCGGCACGCGGCGCGCAGCACGGCTTCGTCCGTGCAAATGAAGTGAAGCGGGCCTCACCGAGGCCGTGCGCCGGGTGCTTCTTCAGCTGGATGAAGGAGATAATCCTCTCGGGGGGGGGCGTCACGGGTCTGGACCGCATCGCTCCGTCTGCGCAGCAATGTTTTAGCAACACAAACGCGCGCAGTTTTTACTGCGAAACAGAGTAATGGCACGCGGCGTGAGAGCGGCTCACAGATTCGAATACGCAGATCGACCGCCCGATAGCAACCACGCAAAGACCACGGTTGGGGAGAGTACCGTTAGCGATCACCTCTGATTAGCACGGTTGGCTACGTACGGTGCGAAAGAAGTTCAACGTACATACACGCGGCACAAAGGCAGATAGGATATGGCAAACACCTTATCCAACTGCTTTGCCATGCCAGTAGCGTGATCGTTGGATGTACCAAGGGGGGAAGGTAAAATCTAGGTTCAGGTACCAATTGCCAACTGTCCATTTGCCAGGTTCAGTTACCAAAAATGTTTTATCAAAGACCGATGCCAAATTGCAACCCAGTCAATCCATCATCTGACACCAACAAACACACAACTTCACATCTCAGCATTCTGATTATTATGATCATCATCATTAAACTATTCAACCATTTTTATTTTACCATGTAAGGCCTACTGAGCTATACAGATATTTTTCAGAAGCGACCTGGCCACAAAGGATTGCTCAAGGAAGTGGCTTATCACGTGGACATTTATAGCAGCCAAATACTCAAAGTGCATGTTGATTCTAAATGTGAAGGGAAAAAGACCAGAGGACCCGAGAGAAAAATCCACCCGACCACGGGAAGAACATGCAAATGCAAAATAAGCAGTTGTCAGGGTCCGGATCGAACCCACGACCTCCTGTATACTAGGCGAGGTAGTTAACATCTGGCCACCGTGGCCACCCATTATTAGCTTTTAACAATCCACTGGTGGATCTCAGTTTTCCAAAACATTGAGATCTTCCTCAGTAATGATAGAAATAAATAATACACAACCTGTTTTTGCTTTTAATTAACTTGTTATATTTTCCAATTACCAAACGTGTTCATTGCCTGGAATAAAACCCCAGTTTGCTCTGGCTATAAATAAAAAGAATACCAGCCATATTGGCAATATTCCAGAAGTGCATGTACAGAATTGACTGTACGCTACATAAGCTTGCATAAGCACACATGCCTAAGGAGGGCTAACAAAGCATGTGCTGTTGGCATCCGCATCCGTTATATAAAAATCACCGTGGCATCATCATGCACTTGCGCCCATGTGCTATAATAATCCATTGTAATACTGCGTACGGAACTTTTTGGTTTTAATGCGCTCATATTTCACTGTGCTACGTAATTAACTTGTGCAACTGAAGGGGAAAACAGCTCCCGTGCCTTCCTTTAATGAAAAATAAACTGCAGTTACTGTATGCCCAAACTGCATACGTAAGTTCGGTTGTGTGTTGTGTTTTCATTACCATTGCCATCCACCATGCCAGGGATGAGCATTTCTGATGTCGTACTTAGCCTCCACTCTGAAATGGAATCGTAAATAATTCACAATCATTACGCAGAGCACAAACACGGCCATGACACGGCTGCAATAATAATTGACACAGCACCTTTTGTGTGGCGTTTTGCCGCAACTTTAAATTTTAATCCGACGGTGACTGTCGGGCCCCCACCACGAGTTTTCCGCTCCAGCTCAACGACGCGCGCGCGTGCCGTCCAGGTGCGAGAGAATGCCGCGTGAACACGCACGCGCACGCATAATGACAAAGATCCACCGTGTAGCCTGCACGTGCTTCTGGGGCAAGTGCTTTTAGCGAGCACCTCCGAAGGCCAGCGCAGGAAACTCATTTCTTCTAAACTGCTTTTTGTGTTTAGTTTGTTGTCCTTCCCCCGCACCTCCGATTCAGACTATTGGCTATGTACGGTGCGAAAGAAGTTCCACATACGTGTGGAAAGCACCATGGCTGGCCAACTATGTCTCCCGGGTGCCGATGTTTACACACTGTACCAGGCACTCACTCAAAGCCGAGTCTACATCGTGGATTACGATTCCTTTTCAGGTGACCACCCCGATCGTTAGCCTTGGCAACGAAGCGAACTCGGTGAGCAAAGCACTCTAACCAATACGGCTACCGCTGCCCACCGCGCACGCTCGCTCGCACGCACCTGAGTTACGCGGGCTCCGCACCACGGGCCCAAGGCGCGCGGGCAGCTGTCGGTACGAGTCGTCCATGCTGGCGTTGTCCTGCGACGGACGGCGGGCGCCGCACAGGTCCACCTGCGAGCGCGAGAAGTTGTGCAGCAGCTGCACATGCATGGAGTGCAGGCGGGGGCGAGGAGGCTGCGGAGTCGGGGCCGACAACTCCATCATGCTCGGGGCGCCCGTCAGCCCAAGCGTGCCCGAGCAGTCATCGTAGAAGTGCAGCCCAGAGACTGGTCAGGAGAGAGAGAGAGATGCCAATATCATTCATCATCAGCATAAGCTACGATCCATACATTCAGCAGTGGAACGACCGTAGCTGCTGATGATGATGACGACGCAATATAATCCATACTGATTCCGCAATATCATTCATTAGTTACAATCCATCCACTGCTGGATGGATCGTAGCCAACGATGATCAACGAAATTGCATCATCATCACCGATGATCAACGATATTGCATCATCATCAGCTCCGATCCATCCACTGCTGGTAGGAGGGCTCCCGAAGCGGTTGAGATTTCTCCTGGTTCCGCAATGCCACAATCAACGTAAGGTTGTTTTGAATAGAAATCTGCGATGCAAGTCTCCGCTTAAATGAACGTCCCCACGTGATAAAAAACAAATCACTCTTAAATGTCCTTGGACTAGTGCCGTACTGTATACACATAAGAATTAAATTCCAAAATGTCGTTGGCCGACTCGAATGAGCATAGCGCAGCGCTCTCATTTTACAGCATTGAACCGGCGGTGAAATTCCACGTTACTACAGCAAGTCAACTAAGCAATCACTGCTAGCTGCTTATTATACAAAAATATCATTTCAAGTGTCCCTTTCCCCGATTTTATATGGACTCGGCGAAAAGTTTAAATTGTATTCCACTGAATGAACGCATCTCTCTCCATTAGGATAAAAGGATTTTTCACCTGCATTTCTTATTTTTTTAAAGGCGGAATTCACGGTGTATTCGTAAAATGTACTAACCTCGTCAAGAGCGAGGCTGCATATTTATTTGGAAGAAAAAAAACTGCCCAGGCTGCAAAGATGCTAAATCACGGCCATTGTCCACAGCAAGGGTTAAGCTTACACCGGGCAATTAATTATAGACCAAGCAATGACATTAGCAATGCTGCTCTCATGCTGGGTTGAGAGCAAATGGGGAAAATTTCATCATTGGACTAGTAAATCCATAAATATTAGCCACGGTGCACTGTGACTGGTAAAAGTTGTCTTGTTAGTTACGTGGATTGAAGGGCGAGCGCACAGCAGAGGTCCTGCGCGTTTCTGCACAAACACATATTTTTTAAAATCATATTGCATAATACAATTGTGGAAACAACCATTTCACAGGTGGACAGATAATGGAGGATATATATATGTTGGAATTTAAGCGTATTTCCCCGAGTTGCTCACAAATCAAACTCATTGATGACGCGCAATACCTGCACAACAACGCCTGTTTGAGTGAACAGAGAATAATGCTCGAAGTAAACTAAAATATATCGTTTTGCAATTCCAGGTGCCGTGTGATGCATTTCTTTGACGGACAAAAGTGTTTACCACATCATAAAATTTTCGAACGCACGTTCCGTTGGTGTCACCCTAACATTAAGCTACCCGAACAATTATGCACTGCAACAGAAAAAAACGTGTGCCCGAATTATAACAATTTGCGCGGTATTTTTGCCTCTCAATCGTGCATAAGAATGCAGACGTCTCATTTATTTATTACATTTTTTCACAAGTATGAAGTTACTGTTGCCCTGTTTTCCTGGCCTAGCCGAGCAAGATAATCCAGTAGAGCAGCAGTAGACAAGTTTGGACGAGAAAAGCGCTGCGGGGCTCCACACCAGATGTATGCACTCTGACAGCTTTGCACGGGGGTTATTGAATTCCCAAACATTTGGAGGAGTGAAGCTGACAGATTTGAGCAATGGTTATTTGTTTGATTAAACAACACCATAATTTTCAAATAAGTTCGTAAATAAACAAATCTCCGTAAGGACTCTTCAATAATAGACATAAACCGTATCTGGCATACTGTTTATTTTCATTTAACAAGTGCGTCTCATGAAACGTAATTCAATATCTTAGCAAAGCGTTATCACGCCGTACATCCTGAAAATGATTCTTGTTAGTCGTAATGCTCTGTCACCATATAGATGGGCTACATTGAAAAACAGCCGAAAGGATTTACGTCAGGGCAAGGCCGGAAAAGTAATACAAAGAGAAAGAATAATACAATGGAAGCTCTTTGTCAATATGGATTCTCCTTTCATTGCTGTATTATCAACTTCATCATCATTAATTTACAGCCATGTGTCAATTCGCTGCTGAATGCCGTGTTGATCGTGGGGGTTGTTTGATCGTACATCACCAATTTGGTTGGAAGAGCTTCGTGAAAAAATGGTGGGGGGCGGAGGAGGATGGTTTATAAAGGGGCCAGGTATGGTTCAAATATCACTCGCCACTGATGTTAGACGTGGCCGGGAATTGAACTCACATTGCCGGTTTTGTACCACCACCGCTGCTAGCCTCCCCGCTAACAGCACTCGTAAAAAAAAACGAGAACAACAAATTCAACGCCGGAATTTCAACAACGCAAAACCACGCGCTATAAACCGCACCGCTGCGCGCACACGCACCCACGCACGCACTCGAGGCAGGAATACCGAACTGCTGTCGCGGTCTTTCCCGGTGCCGGTTCACGCCGCGCTTGCGACCACACGGCCGGGACGCGCCGTACGTACCGTGCTGGCGGCCCCGCCGCTGCATGGTGAAGGCGTGCTGCGCGGCGCAAAACTCCAGCAGGTAGCGGCACGTCTTGAGGTCGTCGGCAAGGTAGATGTGCTTCACCGTGTCCATCGTGTTCTGCATCGTGATCTTCTTCCTCTGAATCATCAGAATCGCAACCTTTATTTAGACTGGAGGAGCAATCCGATGAGCCATGCACGAGGGTATTTTTCATGGGTGTCCGGTATGGGACGGGTCAGCGAGTAACAACAGCAAACAATACAAAAAAACTATAGTGCAAAAAATTGGGAAAATGCTAAGCTAGTCACTAAATATAAGTAAAAAATAAATACATTATATAACTACCTTTTTATTTTGCCAGGTAAGACCCACTGAGCAATGTAGCTCTTTTTCACAAGCGACCTGGCCACAAATGATAGCTCAACAAAGTGGCTTATCATCGTGTATAAAATTTACAGCAGCCAAACACTCTAAACGCGTGATGTTGATTCTAAATGTGGAGGGAAAAACTGGAGGACTCGGAGAAAAATCCACAAGATTGGGCAAGGTAGCAAAACCACACCAATATAACAACACACAGTAGTCCCTGAATAAAATGGCACATTAACAGTGAATCCGTGCCAGCACGGACAGCCAGCACGGACAGCGGCGACAGAGTGGGGCTCAGCGCCGTGTCGCAACACGGATGTCGGCACCGACGGTTCCAAAGACGGCAAAAGTGCCCTCTGATGCATGTGTTGTTCGGCGCGATGCCTGACGTTTTCGCGTGCTGGGTGCTTCTTCCGATGACAGAACGTTCTCAGCGCGTGGAGCGAAACGTACTGTGAGAGCACGTGCCAGCACATAGACTGGCACGTCAAGACCACATGCCGCACAACACAACCCAAAGCCAGGTCGCGGTGCAGTGCAGCACCACAGCGAAAACTTTCGTGATCGTGTATTGCTTTACCATCATCACTCCCAAGCGGGGCTTAAATCACGCTCTAATATCAGGTGTCCTACTTTCCTTTGCCAAGTCAAAGCAGTAATGAGAACGCATCTGCGACCGGCTTGCTCACTTGGAAGGAGATCTTCTTGGTCTCCCTCCAGGGGAACTTGAGGCTGGCGGTGCGGGTGCCGTTGGGGAAGCTGTAGACCACCACGCCCTGTGGCGCAGATCCCAAACAGCACGGTACCCGCCGACTTCTTCTCCATGCGCACGCGGTACAAATGCATGCCGTAGTCGGGCAGCATCTGGGCCACCTGTAACCAAACACAATGCCTGGGGTCAACCTGTGCGTCCACGGTGGCATGCATTGTAACCCTTTCCCGTTCTGAGACATCTGGAAGTCGCAGGGTGGGTGTCCCGTTCACCGCCGAATCTCGGAACGTGCAAAGCGGTTCAGCATTAATTTAATTTAGAGAGGCGTAGCGTCGCTGTTTTTATAGACACTGTACTCACCGCAGAAAAGTGCAGTGACACGACCGCAGCCTATGATAGCTGGCGCCAAACTGTGCCACACGCCCGACGCATGGTCTTGTGGGAACCTCGGTACCAATAAAGTTATTTTATTTCCCTTGCAACTCCGGGCAAGGGCTGCACGTGTACACATGTACACGGGTGCAACCCTTTAGTCAACCCACTGCTGCTTAAGAGTATTTTGGTTGCTGTAAATGTCCACATGATGATGATGATGATGATGGGCCACTTCGTTGAGTTATCATTAGCGATGGCCAGGTCGCTTCTGAAAAAGAGCTATATAGCTAAGTGGGCTTTACCTGGTAAAATAAAATAAAAAATAGTTTAGTTTTAGTGGAGTAATAAACCTTGAGGAACTCGAGTTCGGAGGTGGTGCGGACGGCGCCGTTGTAGCTGGCATGCAGGCGAGGCATCTCGTCGCGGACGTAGGCTGTGGTGAGGCGTGATATGGTGCTGCCCGGCAGGTAGAGCTCAGGGTGGAAATAGTTCTTCCCGTGCAGCTGCGACGGGCACACAGATCCATAAGCAGGCGGTTTAATGAATGGGAAAGTTTACCGCACGCAATTAGGTGAACGGCAGGTGACGCGCGGTGGGGTACAGTGTGGTGCGTACTGCTACCACTTCCAAAAAGTCTGGACAGCATGGTAGAGTAGGCCAAATACACTCGGGGGGGGGGGGGGGTTAAAGGTGCAGGCCTGCACATTTATCTTTACGATAAACACAAGAAACAACCGTTTAAATGCCTCCGCAAAAATTAGGTGTGCTGAATTGTCAAGTTTTCAGCCCACTTGTCAATCCGATGTTGGATGAAGGCCTCCTCACATCGTGACGGTCGTGGGAGTTGTTGGACCATACTTCACCAGGCTGGGAATCTTAACTTAGGTCACCGGGTTCATAGCTCAATGCTCAAACCACTCCAAGCGCCACTCCACCAAAAAAAAACAACGTGCACCTTAATACTTGTGCAATTTCTGCGTCAGTGCTATTATTCATTTTGGAAACTTGGCACTTTATCGTTACTCTGCGAATCATCACTATTTCGGTCTCATATACAGTACATTTAAATTATTAAACACAATACTTAGGCGGGTTAGAGCTCACCATTGTGTCCACATAATCCTATATAAACACATTTACATATTAAATGCAATGGAGTTACTCTTTGGTTCTTTCGGTAAAGTCACGTAGAAAGAAAATAAATTAAATAATAGAATACGACGTTTCGATTGCAACACAAGCAACCGTCATCAGGTAGAACTAAATTTGAGAGAGAGACAGAACACAGACACGGAAACACACAGATAGACACACAAGCAGAGAGAGACAACACAGAGACACACAGAGAGAGACACACAGATACAACACAGAGACACACAGAGAGACACACAACATAGACACGCAGACAGACACACAAGCAGAGAGAGACAACCCAGAGACACACAGAGAGACACACAACACAGAAACACACAGAGAGAGACACACAACATAGACACACAGACAGACACACAAGCAGAGAGAGACAACACAGAGACACACAGAGAGAGACACAACATAGACACACAGACAGACACACAAGCAGAGAGAGATAACACACAGACACACAGAGAGAGACACACAACATAGACACACAGAGAGAGACACACAAGCAGAGAGAGCACGACACAGAGACACAGAGAGAGACACACAACATAGACATGCAGACAGACACACAAGCAGAGAGAGACAACACAGAGACACAGAGAGAGACACACAACATAGACTACCTTTTGAATGTAGTCCCCGTACTCGGCTTGCAGGGCAAGTGAGCCCAGTAATATCGCTGTCTCGCTGTCACAGGACACCTTCTCTTCCAAGATATCCCTCCGCATCTGCAAGTAGTACTGGTGCCTTGTCTGCTCGTGTCTGTGAAAGCGTCGGTCAAAGGTCAGACGACCGTGGCACTTACCGACAGCGTAATGTCATCTGAACACGACTTGTGTGCGTACATGTGTGCAAACGACAACAATACAAAGATCCCCCATATAGCCTGAACACACTGTTGGGGCAAGTGCTGTTCACGAGTAACACCTATGAATGCCGGCACGGCACATGAGGGGGTGGGTGGCAAACACCAGCGCCCGGCTGCTTTTGTCTCCCCAGTGACGATGTTGACACATCGCACCAGGTATTCATTTGAGACTGAGTCGACCTAGGGGAGGCCCAGGACCGTTTCAGCAGCGTGATAACCACTGCACTACCGCTCCCCACGTGTGTGTGTGTGTGTGCGCGTACAATAGGACTTAGTACTTTGTCTCCGTTCCCTTCCCCGGATTAAGTCTGAACTTAAGAACCCTCTCCTCCGCACATTTTGTGGTTAACCCCTCACCCCCCTTGCTCACTGTATCCTCAGCCAATCCTCTTTGTACATTTAATCTGTAAATTGTTTTCTGTCTCCTGACTCTTATGTAAGCGCTCGAGTTTCGAATTGTGTTTGTACTGCATGGCGGGATTGCATACGTAAGAGAGCTCATACATCCAAGCTCTGAAGAGAACACTGATGTGGAGAGTAACAGTGTAAGAGTGGATGCAGACACAGACTGCATTGAATAGTTATAGCCCTTTGCCAATCCACTGCTGGATGAAGGCCTCAATCCACGGGCCAGTGGTGGGGGCTGTTTGGGCACACTCTCAGTAAAGGAGAGTTGGGGTGAGGCTAGTGGAGAGGGGAGGGGGCAGCGCAGAGGGGTGCAGAACTGGTTCAGATAACTCCGCTCACCAATGACATGTATGGCTGGGAATCAAACTCGGGCCTCCGGGTTAATAGTGCCGTGCACCAACTACATGGCTGGACAGGACGAGAGAATGGTAGCGAAGGAAAGGACGCACAGAAGAAGATGGTGCCCCCCTGTGGAGATGGAGCAATGTATGTTGAACTGCTTTCACACCGTACAAAGCCAACCGTGCTAATCGGAGGTGCGGGAGAAGGACGACAAACTAAAGCACAAAAAGCAGTTGTAAAGAAATGAGCTTTCAATCTCGAAAACTAACTGATCAGGAGATCGTGTCCAGCAGTGAGGTGGATGGTAGCGATGGGCGATGATGGTGTGGAGGAGGCCTTCGTCCAGCGGTGGGAGGAAAGAAACGATCACAAATCGGAGGAGGGGGCGCGGTTGGGGGCTGCTGCTATGGAGGGCCGTGCCCGCACTCTCTCACTCGAGCTGCGCGAGGTTGTCGGGGAAGAAGCGGATTCGGAGGTAGAGGTTGAAGGGGTCGACCGCCTTGTGCCGTCGCTTGTTGCCTTCGCGCCAGCTCTCCGGAGCCACCTTGTGCAGCTTCACGTCCGAGCCCAGGAAGAAGAACTCTGCGTCTGAGACAGAGAGGCACAGATTGTATCGGCACCGACGTAAAAAGACACTTCGGTGTGTTGCACAATCACCTGGCAATTGTCAAACACTGACACCGCAAATGAACCACGACACCTTGCCGACCTCGTCAAGGAGCCTAAAACCATCGTGCCAACTCCGGTCATCCTCGTAGCAGCTTTTGGCTCGTCATTTCTTTTATAAAACAATAGTTAAATTTCGATTTAAAGCTTTCATGACTGCATGGATTCATATTAATAATAAAACAATAAAAATAAACCAATTAAATTCTCACGACGTTTCGGCCACAACGCAAGCAGCCGTCCTCAGGTGAAGAACAGGGCTGTCGTTAGGACGCTGTCTTTCCGACAGCCCTGTTCTTCACCTGAGGACGGCTGCTTGCTTTGTGGCCGAAACGTCGTGAGAATTTTTTCTTATTATGTTTTATATTTATTATTTTATTATTTTGAGTTGCTTGAATATTCGCCAATATTTTGCCAATGATAAACGAGCTTAATGACATTAACCTCAATTTGTGCGTCAAAAAGAACAAAAGCGAACTGAGTGAATAGTTTTGATTTAATATTCTTGGTTCTTTCGGTAAAGTCACGTAGAAGGGAAATTTATTACTTCCCTTCTACATGACTTTACCGAAAGAACCAAGAATATGAGTGAATAGTGTTTTAGAATTTAAAAACAAAACCACATTCATCAATACTGTCATCCCAGCTCGAACGCAATAAAGGAAAGTGTGTGCGTGTGTATTTTACACGGTGGGGAGCAGTCGTGTAGCGGTTAGCAAGCTGCGTTACAATCCTGGCGACCCGAGTTCAATTCCCACTCACGGCCAACCCCAGTGGCGATTATCTGAACTGGTCCTGGGCCTCCTCCCCTAGGTCGACTCAGCCTCAAATGAGTACCTGGTGCGGTGTGTTAACATCACCACTGGGGAAACAAAGGCGGTCCGGTGTGGTGTTGGCCACCCGCCCCCTCGTATACCGTGCCGAGCTTCATAGGCGCTCACTAACAGCACTTTCCCCAACAGTCTGTTAAAGCTATACGGGGGATCTTGGTCTTCGTTTTATACGGAAAAGATTTTGGTGTCGTGCGAGCAGACGAGCACTTTGTTAACTGCATAAATACCTAGAAAAAGAGAGAAAAAGTAATTAAACCATAAATGGATACACAGTGGCTTTCACGCCCATTACCTTTCCTGTAGGCGAGGCCAAAGAGAGACGGCTCCACCATCGCAGTGTGGGCCACCACCAAGTCAAACACCTCCTTCCCCTTGGCCTTGGGGTCCGTGGTGAGCTCCAGCCTCTGCCCGTTGAGCAGGATCACCATGAGCTGCCGTCGCGTGTCCTCCGCCTTGCCCTTCTTGGACTGCTCGCGGCAGGACGGGGGCGCAAAGGGAATTCCGAGGGTCAGCGAGCGGCTCACGCTGGGGGGTGGGCAGAGGTCGCAATCGGGTACCCGATACCCGTACCCTACCCTGGTGCAGCCGGGTACGGGTACGGGTAGGCCGTGAGTCACTGGTGAGTAGCCGTTTGTCACTCATTTCGGGTAGGGTATGGGTACGGGTAGGGAACGGCTACCCGTACCCGGCCGGGTACGTGTACGGGTACCCATTTGCGACCCTGGTGCGGCCGGGTATGGGTAAGGAATCAAAACCAGTTTGCGACCTCTGGGAGTGGGTCGACGTCGACGACGTGAAGTCTGCGAAAGCCACGAGCGTCTCTCTCTCTCTCTCGCGCGAATTTAATTCCATGCGCAAGCATCACTGCCGACACATTTATTTTTGAAAATTAGAACTTCTTTTTGTGTTCCCTTTGTTGTCCTTCCCCCCGCACCTCCGATTAGTGCTGTTGGCTACGTACGGTGCGAAAGTTCAACATACATACTGCACTATACACTACACTACGCTATACACTACAATACACAACGCTAAATTGAAAACTCATTCCTTTAGAACTGCTTTTGTGTTGAGTTTGTTGTCCTTTCTCCACACCTCCGATTAGCACGGTTGGCTACGTACGATGCGAAAGAAGTTCAACATACATACAAGCCCGAATAATATTAATAATTCGACACATTCGTCAATAACACTGCACTGAAGAGAAGAAAGTATATAGCAGGTGATGTTTTAAACAACGGGTGCTGCCTGCAGCACTGCCTATGACATGTCAGATTTTTTTCCTCTCCCTTGAGTAGTGTAATTGAGGCATGCGTTGCGTTTTCAACAAAACAAGAGAGAGCGCAACATGCCATGGAATCAATACTTTTAAATTACAATGCCGCAGATGATATTTGTTATTTTCGTCGAGGACGTGGGGAGAGGCGAGAGTGGGGGGAGGGGGGTAGGCGTTGAATGGGCTGTAAGCATCTGTAGAGCATTGTTAGCAACTCGCTCACGGAAACTTACCTGCACCAATATGGAGACTGGAACCTCGAGGGCTATCGGTGGTTCGCTGGCCAACCTCACAAACTCTGGACCAAACGTGACCTTTAATGTGTGGAGGGGCAGAGATATTCACACACACACACGCACAAGGAGACAAGAACAATTCATACGTTACACACCAGGATAAAAAAAAAAGTGCTGCTCCGGTGTAGTGCTTTGCACACTGGACCTCCAAGGCAGAGACTGCCGATTCCTTCTCCTGGTCCACGTTTATTAAATCCCCAACCCCGCTTCTTCCACCCACGAGTACAAATTAGTTCATCACAATTTAAAGCTTTCGTGACTGCAGGGATTCATCTTCCTGGTTTCTTTCGGTAAAGTCACGTAGAATGGAAGTAATAAAATAACAAAAATAAAACATAATAAAATAATTCTCACGACGTTTCGGCCACAACAACCGCAACGCAAGCAGCCGTCCTCAAGTGAAGAATTCTTCACCTGAGGAAGAATTATTCACCTGAGGACGGCTGCTTGCGTTGTGGCCGAAACGTCGTGAGAATTATTTCATGTTTTATTTTTATTATTTAATTACTTCCCTTCTACGTGACTTCACCGAAAGAACCAAGAAGATGGTTCATCACAGTTAGTCCATCGGCAGGACGCATGCGGTAGGGTGAAAAATGTGGGTACTCCCACCGGTGTAACACAGCTGGCCAAATTCTTTCGAGAGGGGCTCTCTGGAGCTAGCTCCAGCGCAGACCCCCTTTCCGCCAACATTGGCATGAGCCAAGCAATCACGGAATGCATATTTTACTTTAGTAATGGAAAAATTGCCCGGTGTTTCTATACCTGTGAAGTGACCAAGCAAAATCAGATTACGTGTGTGTGTACTGTCCCACGATCTACTATTCACCAGGTTATCTTTTACAAAGCTCACACAAGCTTGGATTGGTAACAGATGAGAAACACACTCGTATCAATCCGAAGCGCGAGCAGATCACGTGTATAATCGCTCACGAATAAAGTTGGCCAAACATCCAAATCTATGGCCAGAGAGCTTGGGAAGTCACTGGCACCGGTTTCGCGCGCCTGCGAAAACCGGCGTAACCTGCGCGGGCGCGCGTTACAAACCCGCAACCCGTGTAACTTTTCAACCTTCCAAGTCAGAAACCGCGCTACTCCGGCGCGCGTCCCAACCTCGGTGCTGCCGTCCTGCCGCTGCGGGGAGTTGTAGAGCTCGTGGATGGGCGACAGCGGCGTCGCCGCCGCGTACGACTCGCGCAGCGGCGACAGCGGCGCCGGGTAGCCCTGCCTCTGCCTCATGCGAGCCTGCAGCTCACGCAGCTCCTCTCCCTGCCGCCGCAGCATCACCTCGCGGCTCGGCACCTTGTCCGACTGCGCAAAATCGTACCGCCTGGTGGGGTGGGGTGGGGTGGGAAGAAAACACGGCGCGGTCAAATCGTCTTGAGCGCGCGAGTGAGCCGTAAGCTGCGCGCGCAAACAGGCTCTGCCTTTTCGCCGCCTTTTATTGCCGGCAGAAATAAATACTAACGTTTTTTTTTTACCTACCAAGTAAAAGGGCCGCTGAGCTATATTGCTCTTTTTCCAAAGCGACCTGGCCACAAATGATAGCTCAACGAAGTGGCTTATCACGTGGACATTTATAGCAGTCAAATACTCTAAATGCGTGTTCTAAACGTGGAGGGAAAAACCAGAGGACCCAGAGAAACATCCACGCGACCACGGGGAGAACATGCAAACTCCAAATATACAGACGTCAGGGTCTGGATCGAACCCACGACCTCCTGTATACTAGGCGAGGTAGTTAACATTTCGCCACCACGACTTTAGGTTTGCCTAAATAGATAATCGCATTGTACCACCCCCCTTTAATCATTTCATGCGGGACGAGGGCCCTCCTCACACCGTGTATTTCGTGGGGGGTTGTTTTGGTCACACTTCATCGTTTTGATGGGTGCGTGTTTCGCCGAATGCAGGCAACGTAGGTGAGGGGAGCACAGAAGTACAGTGTAACGAAGGATTCTGCCGCGCTGCTCTCGTAGCCGCACGTGGGATCGGTAGGGCCAGGCTCGGACTGCTGTGGAAATACGAGCTCTTGAAACTCTCCCAGTGCCAGCCACTGGCCGTGCAAGCGAGCTTCGAGTGATGTTTAACACAAGTTTGTTCTGTGTTCCGTGATCTTCCATTACCCTGGAAAGACTGGAACTTCCAAACGATTGAACAAATCAATTTGACTTTGACCAAATCACGAAGAATGTGCCCGATCTCATCGTAGCTCACAAGCCAAGCAGGCCGGAGCCTGGACCGTGCTTGGATGAGTGACCACCAGCACGCATGAAACAGATGCTGCGGGCTGCCGCGAGGCTACGTTGTGGGCAGCAGAAGGCGCGTGCAGCAAAATCCATTGTTGCACCGTTGTACCTCAACGTTCACACATCTCTACGTGCCCCTCCCTCCTTCACCAACGCGCCCAGAGCAGTGTGGGGGAAGGTTAAATGACCCCCTTCGAGCGGCACGTCACGGCGAGGTACTCGGCCAGCAGTGGATTGACGAGGGGATCGCCCCTGCGAAGCGCGCCCCAATATCGCAGCGCCGAGTAAATGTCAGCGCCCACTGATTTTTGTCGTACTGCGTGGCTGGTACCTGTCATTGTGAGGGAATGGGCGGCTGCTGGAGAAAATGTCGTCCTCAAACGTTACCGGTGACATCGCACGATTCGAGGAGGCTACGTCACTCCTGGCCCCTGCAGAAACAAGAGACACAGAGGTTCAGAGAGTTAAATTCTTCGGTTGTTTGCATCGCAATTGGTGTTCTTGGCGCGGAAACAGGTTTGGTAATGTACAAGACGTTTTGGTGAGGAAGAAGCAAATGCAGTACATTTAGAAATCAAAGAAAAAAAACATAAAATATGCATTGTAGTAAAGGAAAACAAATTGTGATTACATTTAGCACCTTAAACAATGTCACGGACGGGTTAAAACAACGCCAGATTTTAGAAAATAGTGTACAAGATTTTTCAGTTTGGAATGAAAATGAAGTTAATTACGCTGAGTATAAGGAAATGCTCACAGACTGGGGCTCGACAATTGCTTCATGCATAATGAACACCAACAGAGTTGGTGTATCCAATTACTACAAACCGCTGAATAGACTTCTTCCGCATCCTGCCAATGAATAGCTACAACCTCCATCACGCTCCAAACACAAGGGGGGAAAAAAAACCCAGTGATCTTGCCACAACAAATATTCCAAAATAAACATCTTGCTTGAAAGACGCACAGGTCAAAGGGTAAGGCACTGTTTCAACTCCAGCCAAGTGCTAAGTCAAGATTTCGATAAGTACAATAATAATTTTCAGCCGTTTGTTATTATTCAGCACTGCGATGACTTGAAAATCGATTTTGTCATTGTAATGCATGTAGAATCTATAGTGGCAGCAGGGTGTATGCGAACTATTGAAATGCAGTATGTAATAATAATAATAAATAATAATTTGCTGTCGTTTGTTCATCCATTGCTGGAAAAATGCCTCCCCACACCTCGTCAGTCACAGTGCTTGTGAAGAGGAGTTGGAGAATGGTTCAAGCACATCTTTATTTCTCCAACGCACAGCAACACTCATTCCAAAACCAACCCCAAACACGCATCCCACAGCTCCTTTTAACCCCTCCATCGACACCCTCGCTCCCAATACACTTCCACGTCAGGCACGCCTGGTCCGGGTGATGTCACTCCCCTTTAACCCCTGACCCCCGTCCAGCGCATTCCCGCGCGTGTGATTGGTGCGTGTTATAGTGAGAGCGGAGATGTCGTGTCTGCGTGCGCGTGAGGGTGGCTCGCAGATCCCTTACACTTGTTTGACCATACTTCCCCACGTTGTCCAGTGCTGGTTTGCGAAGTTGGTGCCCAGGACTGGCTCTGATATAGTCGCGGCCGAGAATCAAACTCACATAACCAGGTTCACAGCGTAGCGTGGTGACCGATGTGAGATAACCAACGAAGTGTGATAACCACACACCGCAGGTCCCACCCCAGAGAATTCACAGCATCAGTGTCAAATGAATGGGTCTGTTTACGATGCTATTACGTGCAGTGCAAATAGAGGCCACGAATACATAATGCCGAGCCAGGATGATGCCGTGCGAAACATAGCACATCACAGCAGTTGAAACAATCGGCACGTATCTTAACTCTACCCACCTCTGTCCACCAAGCAGTATGGATGGGCACACCGCAGTCATTTGATCGGCAGGTTGCGTGCGAGGTGGGATAAAGTGTCGGTACTCCCACCTCTTCAGGAGGAGTAGGCCAAATACCCTCTAGGAAGGGAGGCTCTCTCTCCCTCTAAAGCTCTCGTGAGCGGAGGTCCCAGCAGTGGCATGAACTGGCAAATTGCAGGACTGCCCCCGTTGATTGTTTTTCAAGTCGTGCTGACGCAGGACAAAAACGAGCGAGAGCCTCTAATCGTGCAAGCGGCGCTCACCTTGTCTCATGGGCAAGTCCCTGCCGGGCACCTCCTCACCGGACGTGCTGCAGCTGTCGCCCGCGTAGCTGGCGGCGAGCTGGCGCTCCCGACCTTCGAGAGGAGAAAGCGCAGGGGAGACGACAGTGACGCCTTTGTACAACGGGGCACTTTTGTCCAAGGCCGCCTTGGCTTTTGAAAAATCACTTGCGCTGCAACTTAACCCTGAATATGAATGCGCCACGTCCCGGCCAAGGTCTCCGGTCAACTGTTTTGGGGGGCATCGCGGGGGAATTAGACTTCATCGGGCATCAAGATTCATCACGGAGTTGTCCTCTGACAGGTGCTGGCTCCGTGTCGTGCCGTCTCAAGCGGAGTTATTTCACCGTTGCACAAAAGGCATTCCTTGGATTGGAGTCAATGCAGTTTGGAACACAAAAGTACACAAAGAAGGCAGGGCTGCATGAGAGATTTCCAAAGCAGTGGTGAATAACAAGTGAGCTGTGCCTATAAACACTCAAATAGTGTGTACAGAGAGGCCAATTCGGTGGGCTACTACTGAAAACATGAGTTGTACTTAACAACACGGAAATGGCGGGCTTGAAAGTCACATTAGACCTGCCAAATTAAAGGGTCATTATAAAATATGTAAACAATGTCATGCCATACTACACTTAAAAGCAATACGGGATTTATACAAATATTTGGTGAATGTAACGGTTCGTTATATTACCAAGTAATCAAATGTGTCGGATGCGTTAATCATCGTTGCCATACCAAAATGATTTACAAGTGTTCTTATTTACACGAGGCACAGGGAAAGCAATCCAAGACTATAAATCAACATCAGCGCTCTTCGCACTCCTGTCTTCAGCATCGAGTTTCAAGTTTTAGTTCCGATTTGCGAGAGGTAACGATGATGATGGAGAGGAGCGGTGGCACAACGGTCAGCGCACTGCCACATGAAGCCGGGGCCTCCGAGTTCAATTTCTGACCATATGAAGCCGTCCTGCCAAACCCCCCCCCCCCCACCCTTGAACAACCAGCACAAAAGCAGAGTGGTGAAGTATGATCAAAAGGCCTTCACGACCGACACGGTGTGCGGGAGCCCTCTATGTAGCGGCCGACTGTCACAGGGCTGTAAATGAATTATGCATGATAGATGCGTTGAAAATGAAAGGTGAAGCCATGCTCCCACATAAATGATTGTTAACTGGAAAGCAGCGCCCTTCCCTCTCAAACGAGCTGGGCGCATTTTTCCCCGCCGTGGAGACGAGGCACCAACACTGACGTTAAGTTGCGAGGTGCAAATGAATTCGATGTTGCAAGCCTGTGTGTCAAGCACAGAAGGCGCTCTTATCTAAAGGCAGAGGCAACAAAGGCCATCTCTGAACACGGGTTGCATTCAGCAGCATCTTTTTCCAAGATGCGCGGCTTCAAAAATCTTACAGTTATCATTGAGCACAGCTTAAGAGATGCATACTGAACATATTATTGCCCTTGAAGGTAAGCAACCTGCTTTCACAAGCCCTTTTCTGCAAGATGCCTTATAAAATATTTACTTTGCATTTCACGTGCTTTTTTCTAGCCCCTGCTATTTGTAAAAGGGTATTGATTTAAAATGACGGCCCGAGTTTGTCAATAGGGGCGGCAGGCCCAGACACGCAGCCTGGGGCCCCGAGACGGAGCCTCTAATCAGTCAACTGTGGTAAAGGAGGCATTTCTTTCTGTGCTGCCGAGGCCCTCCAAGGAATGCGTTTCACACAACATCCTGGTGACTGCCCGTGTGTGGTTACACAATACGTTCAGAATAAACCAACGTGTAAAAAGTATTAATATTTTAACCAATTGTATATCGTCATCGTAGAATAGCTCGGATAGAACAAGGATGAATAGCTGCGTAAATACAGACACTAATTGGTATTGTTACCCTTACAACCACTTGAATAGTAAACAGTGAATTACATTTTTAAGAAGTTAATTGAGTTAGAGAATTACCTTTTACAGCAAATAGTATAAATTTTGATTTAAAGCTTTCGTGACTGCAGGGATTCATATTCTTGGTTCTTTCGGTAAAGTCACGTGACTTTACCGAAAGAACCAAGAATAGCAAATAGTATCTTTAGACATGAACGATTCAACCCCCACCCTCCTCGCAATTAATTCGTCACGATTTTCTGTCAGTTTCCTTAAAGTGAATCCCATCACGAAGATCCTGAGATCGAATCTGTGCTTTTGAAGCGGAGTGAGTTAACGAAACTCAGCCAGGGTAAACCAATGGATGCAAAAAAAAGCACAACACAACATAAAACTGGTTCTGCACTTAACTATGAATTCCAGCTCTGAGAAAAAATTATATATATCGGTTTGACTTACATGCAATTAACACTTGACTGTCAAAGCAGGGTGGGTGAAAGAGTGCTGCCTCTACTGTGTGGACCAAAGGGCAACTTGAAGGGATATCAGAAATAGCTCTGCAATATATTTCGCTGCTCTGCAAGCGATCTGAACAGATAATTGCCATAGCATAACTATCGATTATACAAGCGGTGCCACTGCGCCGGGACCCACGCGGAGCGAAGGAAGGCGGGCAGGGGATCGTCATTCATTCCTTGGACAAGGGCCCCACGCCAAACCCTGCTAAACCACTGGGTACTTTGATACTAGCCCAATCGGGATGTAATTGTAGAACAGAAAATACGTATATCATTAAAACACCTTCAGTTCCCAGGGCTTCGCGCAAGACGTGGAGGGTCCTCTGCTTCTCGCGGATCCTCTCGTAGGCGTCGGACAGCGCCGACGTCGAGGCGTACACCGGCGTCGCCATCACTTCCGAGCGCGGCCGCCCCCCGCCGTCCCTCGCCGAGTGCCACGCCCCTCCGTCGTCGGCGTAGGCCGCGCCGGGGTAGCCGGCGACGCGACCCAGCGTGTGGCTCCTGGGCCTCGGCGCGGGCGGCGCGGCATACGGCTCGTCGTAGCGGCTCGCGCGCACCGTCGACATGGACGCCTCCGAGCCCACGGGGGTGACGACGGCGGTGTCGCGGGGGCTGCGCGAGCGCGTTTCGTGCCCGATGGTGTGGTACCGGTGTTCGGTCCAGGGCAACGGCGTGCCGTGGCGCGAATGGTGGTCGGCCGCTTCGTAGCCGCGGGTCGACTCTGGTGGCCGCCCCGAGAACGGAGGCTCGTAGGCCCTCGAGGAGGACGGCACCGTTGGCGTCGTCGTCCTCGCATCGTCCAGATGCCCCGCGGAGCGCCAGGCGTCCTCGCCCCTGTTGGCGGCGTACGCGAGATGTCCCACCGACTTGCTGAGCCCGTTGCTCATGTGATTGATGGCAGGCCTGTCTGTTCTGTGTCTCAGCATGGCAGCCTGGGACATGTCCCTTCCTGCAAAATATGAAATTAAATAATCACATTATACATTCTTCATAGGGCCAGAAAAAAATGTTGCCAAACCTCATGATTCGATGAATTGTCATGATTCCACGTTACAATTCTATTCAAGATTTGTTTTTTAAATGGCAATGGGACGATTATTTGTCTGCAGAATTACTTACAATGGCTACAGAATTACATACAATGTATACAAAAATAGAATCATTGATTCTCACATGAACACCTTGTTGCATGTATTTTGAGCGTAGGAATATATTTTAATAAATTAAGCTATGCATCGTTACATCCCACTGCACATCATATGAAGACAACATGTTTTGGAAAATGCAGTACATGAGATTTTGTAAGTTGAAGATTTGTAACTCCCAGATTTCCTTAGATTCAGAGCTTTGGGGAACCCCAGACAAAGTGGGGGAGGCAGCCAGAACCAATACCAACAACTGCCCAAGTTCCGAGGCCCTCAACTGGGGGAGTGATGATACAGGTGGGAAGAAACCAGAGTACCCGGAGAAAAGCTACGCCTGTGACGCGGGTAACACAATCCCCGTAGAGATGGAAACAGATGGACATCAACCCAATTGCTCTGCTGCCATCTCCAGGCGAGACTGCGTATGGCGACCTCTATGCCCAAAAGGAAGGGTATTTCAAGATATATGTGTGATCCAACAACCCCCTTGCCTCCGGTGCTGAATTCCAGGTGCACCATCTGCATGCAATGCAAAATTAACCGATGCAATGAAACAGAGTGGTACAAAGGAGCCTTGCATTGTCATTGATGCTCTACTTTGGAATGCACTGGAAGCCTTGGGAAAAATTCACCAAAAGTCCTGTTTGAGGGCATAAAATGTGAATGTGTTTACCTCACATATGTACGTCATCTTTCTACGTATAAAATGTCTATCATATAAGCACATTGTATATAAGTGAAAACACAACTACATGTGTTTTTATACTGTTACTTATAAACTTGCGTTGCAACTGCTGCCAACCAAAACCAGGGCATCATTTGCTTAATAGTCCATTTTAAATTAGTCATATCGCCCGTTGTTTAAAACAGTGTGATTAATAATTAACCTCATAAAACAAAGACACTGTACACTCTATATAAACCACACAGCGCAAAGGGAAGCATACAAAAAATAACAACATTCAATTTGGAGGAAAACTAAATACGCAGATTAAAGGCGTCAAAAAGAGAAACCAATTTCCCAACTCACAAAGCAATCTATTATCAACATTTTCGTTGTGATGGGACTTTCAGGCCTCTCCAGTGAATGCAATTCGACTCGTGTCTACCGCACGAGCAGAGAAAAACACCGAAGGGGGGTTGCCATAGCCTCACCGTTGCCTGCGTCTATGCTCACGGCTCCCTCGGGCAGGCCTAGCGATACCGGTTGCGTTCTTCTCCTGAGCTTCTCCCGGATGCGCTGTCTTCGCGAGTGCACATCCTCTGCCCCCTCCGTGCCGCCATTAGTCTTGTCCAGCTGAAGAGTGGTAGCGGGGGAATATTTGACGGTCATTTTGAACGCTTTACTTGTATGTAACGTGTCCAAAATACGAATACAGTTGCATTCATTTTCCTGTTTTCCCGATAACCGTCAGAAATATATAAAAGCCTGCTGAAAGAAAATGTTGTACTGTTAAAAAAATATGCTAATTTGACAATAATCGGTACCAATTTTAAGAGGATTCATTGTCTCAGTTGTAATGCCCCATCATGTGTCTTTGGGCTTATTTATTTCGTAAATGTGTACTTTACAGCGCTTCGAAAAGCCCATCACGCTGACGCCTCCAGGGTGCAGGTTTCTATCTTTACCAACCATCAAGTCGACGCAATGTATAGCAACAACTTGACATGACTGTAAGGCGTGCAATCATTTACCACTCCAGATAGTCTACAATTTGTCACAATTCAGGTTTGGCATTATAAACTAAACAATTTTTTTCTTTTGCCAGGTAAGACCCACCGAGCAAATGTAGCTCTTTTTCACAAGCGACCTGGCCACAAATGATAGCTCAACAAAGTGGCTTATCATGTGGAAATTTACAGCAGCCAAATACCCTACACGCATGTATCTAAATATAGAGGCATTAAGGTTGGGGTAAAACCTCCTGTATACCAGTCGAGGTAGTTAACATCTCGCCACCGTGGCACTCTGTTTTAGACCTGGGTGCATAGAAGTACAGTACAACAATGAATGTTGCTCTGCTCCCCACAAAACACTACAGCCCGGCAGACGCCAATGGCAACGTGGTGCCGCATAGTGGTCTCCCATCCAAGCGCGAAGCAGACTCTAAACCTGCTTAGCTTCTCACATCCGACAATTAGGGGGGCTCATTCCGGGCGATTTGTTCACAGGTAATGGAACAGTACAGTTCAAAAATTAACACCACGAGCATTTCACACTGCCAGGTGTTTTTCTTCTATTCCCCCTCCCCCCCACCTCCGTTTATCACCGAGGTCCCTGCACAGAGTAAAGAAAGAGACCTGTGTGATGCTGCCCAGCACCATCCTCGCCAGATTTCTGACACATGTGCTCGCTGGCTTGGCACCACTCAGCTTGCTGTGCTCAATGCAGGAGCTCAGGATGGCAGACACGGGCGCGCGGAGATGGACCGAGTCCTCACACATGCTCAGCAGAAGCCCGTTGATGCGCTCGTCCAGATTTATAGGCTGCGGAGAACAAAAGGGCAGCTCTCAACCCTGCCGACATCAAAAGCAGATGGCAATATGACTTCACAGAGAAACCTGGTCATGCCAGACTTCAGGATAAGCATCCTGCGAGATGAGTTTGTATGTCTTATGTTTCGATTAACATGCATTAACACAGTGGTTCTTAACTTGGGGTGCACGCACCCCCTGGGGGTGCGAGACATGGCCAGATTGTTTTAGTAGGTAGATCGTCGAGAAAAAAATTAAGCACGGGCACATAATATAACTACTTTATATTCTTGGTTCTTTCGGTAAAGTCACGTAGAAGGGAAACAATAAAATAAAAAAAATATTAAACAATTAAATTATTGCTGTGGTTTTCACATCTGATGATGATTAATTGGGTTGCAGTCGCCTCGTCGTGAGAATTTTATTGTTTTATATTTTTATTATTTTATTGTTTCCCTTCTACGTGACTTTACCGAAAGAACCAAGAATATGAATCCCTGCAGTGACGAAAGCTTTAAATCAAAATACAACTACTTTTTTTCATCAAACCTCTATGCATTTATTAAGAGTGTACTTTTTTTTTTACGATTGAGAACCAAAGGGGTGCAAGGCTGCAGTAAAGGTTCAGAACCACCCCATGAACATATTGGAATAGGCTACAAACGGTTTTTTTTACAGCCCTTCATCAACCCACTGCTGGATAAATGCTGTGTCAGTCATGGGGGATAAATGATCATCGTCACCACACTCGTCAGCGTGGGCTGTACAAGGGGTGCCTGGGACTGGTTCAGAAGTAACTCGTCACTGATGTTAACCATGGCCACAGATCAAACTTGGATGGCTGAGCTGATAGAACAGTGCGCTAACAGCAGCGCCGCCATTTCACAAAACATATATACCTCTATGTATTGTATTGTATTCTTCGTATGAAGTTAAATACTATATTTGAATAAAGCCCAGCCGATATATATATTTGAGTCCTATAATAAGCATTGTATGTAGAGTGCAAGTCTATAATTTTCGGCACAATCTCACACCCGTGCCGAGTTTTTTTTTTACACTTCTAAGAAATTACAGTGCACAGTTAAAAGGTAAAAATGCAGCCCTGCAATGATTTGCTCACACGCCACAGCTAACGGCAAGGCCTCTCTCCGAGAAGGGGCTCATGAAACCTGCCCATTGTTTCAATCAAGATGGTAATTTACAGGCAAAAATGTTCTTCAATGTCTCATATTGCGAACATTGCAACTACCGTACTACTGTAGGGGTGTTACGGAGGGGCTGTTATACAATGGGATCACACGGGAAAGAAACACAGTGGGCGTGGCTATGTCGGTGCACGGGAAGGTGCTCCCAGCGACGTCCGCATCGGGCAGCCTGGGGGGCTGACTCGGAGCTGGGATCCCCCGGGGCCCCACCCCTCAGCGGGGGTTTTGGTATAAAAGGGGATGAGCCGGAGGGCTCGGGGAGAGATGTTGAAGCTAACCAGTGAAGACAGAAGATCGTCTAGATAGAGCCCTGGACTCCCCTGGATCGCCGCCCTTATCAGGGCCGAACAGGATCGAGCCAGCGGCGTGGTCCCGAGAGCCAGAGCCGGTGCTCTTGTAAGAGCTGGTCTGGGACTCCGGGTACCGTGAGCCCGACTTACCAGTGTCGGGCTAGCTAGCCTCCCCTAGCCCGTTAGTGGAGGACCAAGAGGTAGGCTAGGCGTAGCTAGAGGGTGTATTCCCAGTTAGACGGGTGAGGGGGCCGATACCCCCTCCAGTGTTGTATGTCCAGTGTTGTGCTGTACCCGACACGGAATAAATACGTGTGCCTCCAACCCCGGCGTCCAAGTCTCCTGGAACATTATTACACTACTGAGCCACTCTGAATGGCATTTCGCGTGACTCCCAAGTGGCGCTTTACCTGTTTTTCAGGCACTTGGAAATCAGCCGCCCAGTACAGAGTCATTCCGAGGGAGTACACAAGAACCTGCAAACAACCAGTCACACATTCAAAGCTATCAACATACTAAACTAAAAACTAAACTGTTTTTTATTCTACCAGGTAAGGCCCACTGAGCTATGTAGCTTTTTCAGAAGCGCCCTGGCCACAAATGATGGCTCAACCAAATGGCTTATCACATAGGCATTTATCGCAGCCAAATACTCTCAGCGCATGCTTATAAATATATAGGCGTCAGGGTCGGGATCAAACCCACGACCTCCCGTGTACCAGGCGAGGTGATTAGCATCTCACCACCGTCCCACCGTGGCACCCAACACGCTCACATGCCCGAAGAGAGAAACTGAATATCACAATGGTGAACGCACCACGCACCGACAAGATCATCCGCTCGGGTTTGACAGTTCAAACCACATCTCTACTGAGTAATGACAGGCAACCTGCGGTGCAACGAACGCCAAAGGGCCCCATGAGTGCGTGCAGCGGTGTTTGTGCCAGTGGCTTTATCGCAGAAGAAAGTTGAAGAAAACCAGTATTGTACAACATCGCACATATACAAATGAAAAAGCAATGATTCTTATCATTGATAAAGCGATGATTTCACCTTCGATTAGTACGGCTGGCTACGTACGGTGCGAAAGAAGTTCAAGTTCAACATACCCAGGTGATATGATGCATGTATGGTGAACATCATCATCATCTGTGAGGCTCAATCCACTGCTGGATAAAAGTCTCCCAAGGCTGTCACCATCGCTCACGATCCTCGGATGTGATAGCCCACCGTGACATATCTGCCCAGACCATTTAACTGCCCCATACCCCGTTCAGTATTTATGTTTGGTGTAACCGTTACTCTGTATAGCGTTTTACAAATCCAACATTTTCACACGCAGTAATGTCTTCTTTATAGCGCATACATTTTCTCATATAGTACATTTCAATCATTTTCCCACATCCAAAGCAGTTTTTTACTTTATTTTTGTCTGATAACCTTCTTGTGGATGGTCGAACTGTCAGCTACATAAGTTCACATATATGACATTTTAACCCTTTCCTGTTCCGATAACATACGTATACGTAATTCATCGGAATGGAACCTGGAAGAAAAACTAAATAAAATAACTTTATCGGGACTGAGGCTCCCACGAGGCCATGCGGGGGAGAGCGCGTGGCATAGTTTTGCGCCAGCAATCAGAGCGCGGTCGTGTCGCTACAGTTCTCTGCGGTGAATACAATGTCTTTAAAAACGATGACGCTACGCCTCCCTCAATAAAATCAACGGTGAACCGCTTGCGTGTTCCAGGACAAGACCCACCCTGCAACTTGCAGTCGTCTCAGAATGGGAAAGGGTTAAGATATCCACCGATAGCTCAGTCCCCCACAAGTTAGCTTTCTGGCATCATTACCGTATACTACATATGATGAATCGCTCAATGGGCAATTACTAGGCTGCATGGAAAATGTTAACAAAATCGTTCTATGTCAGGTGTGGCGACTTTGTATAAACCCATTTTGAACAAAAATGCCAACAATTTGGCTCACGCATTGTCCACATCTTCCACTCGCAATGCATAAATCTTAGTTTATCCGTTTTAGCTGAAGAGCACCCACGGAATGTTGATCCATTTTAATTCACATATATTCTTAAATGGTGAACATAAAACTAAGCGGAAACCTCGTGGGAGAATCATTAGCGCTGCCGCATGACGGAATGGAAAATAGCCAACTGTACGAATACTGACGCGTTCAAAAGTACGAAATGCTGACGCTTCAACCTTCAAATGATCACTCAACGTGAGCGTACAATTTTTGTTGTTGTTGATATTATCATCCTAACGATAGTCTTTTACATTTATCGCAAGGGAGGTGATGTATGGCTTAAGAAACATTGTACAGCTTGATAAATGTGGGTGATTAATCTGCTCCAGGATTTGTGAACGTTCACAGGTGTGGTCTAGATCGGTAGGTTAACATCAATATTCGAGTGTTTCAACGGATGAATGGCCACTCCAAATAACACCGTGATGCCTCAAGCACAACGAGCACTGCCCATTTACTGCATCAGCAACATTGCTAACCGTCAGAGCACGAACGCATGGCAAGATGCTTCACCTCGGCAACACACCTTGAAAATTAACCCTTGGTAATACTAAGTTAATCTATTTAAATAACAGTTGTGAAATAATGCCTCGAAGGAGCATTCGTGAACTTCGATCCTAACCACCAACCACAGTCGCATTTACCAGTGTTGTCTGTTCACATACAAATGAAGTCGATACATGCCGCACGTGACTTGTGATTATTATGCATAGCCCACGTGACATTGAGTGTGCCGGTTCAAATGAAGATAGAGATCTCTTGTTAATTCCTATGAAGTGGTGAGGAGAGGTGGCACAGCGGTTAGCGCACGTCACTATGACCTCGGCGATGTAAGTTCGATTTAATGTCGTGGCTAACATAGCTAATCAGGGATATCTGAATGAGAACGAGACCTCCGCTAAGTTGACTCAGCCTTCAATAAATGAGTGGGTGTGTGTGAATACCAGCACTGGAGAAATGAAGGTGTTTGGGCGTAGTTTCCTTCACACACCGCTGTGCGCCGTGCCATCCTGCACAGGCTGTGTAGACTGAGCGGGGGATCTCTTTGTCTTTCCAGAATTAACGGCTCATTCATTTTACTCAACACAACAGTTCACGTGGGACATGTTGCCCGATCATCAGGAGCATTCAGCATGTAAAAAGCTTGCATTTAACGATGAAGCCTGGTAAATGGATCGGTGGCCCTTGATATGTCCCGAGGACCTAAACTGCCCTGAAGCCATAAACGAAAAGCATGTGGCAACACATTACCAACTTCACTCAGAGATAGCTACAATATTGCAGATCTGCCACTGATGGGGCTAGCGATGGATGGTGGAGGAGAAATTCTGTAGAATGACCTTGTTTAAAGGGTGGGGGGGGGGGGGCATACAAAAATGCAGGGGGGAGCATGAGACATTCCATTTTAAACAAACTTTAAGAATTTAGAAGGGGAGGATGAGGCAAGCTTCACTGTGTTGATGAGACCCAAAAGGCCAAAACTGGCACTGGAGATCCCTTGCTTCAACAAATGAGGCAGGTTAATATTTGTCTGGAAAGCCAATAGGTCAAATAACTAATTATGATTTTTTTTCATCTTATACATGCTTCAGCAGGGGGAATCAGCCCCCTCCGGCCCCCTCTGCCCCCCCCCAACCCGACCACCCGATACCACAGGGCTGTCACGACGTGTTCACCTTCTCGGCAGCGGCCGTAGTGAGTGGCGTGCCGCGCCAGCGCATGCACTCAGGAGGCGTGAAGGCCGACAAGTCGTGACCCCGTGCCTCCCGGCCATCGGCGGCCAAGGCGATGGCGCCATGAGGCAGCAGCAGCAGGGCCCACGGTGACACCAGCGCGGCGTGGGGCGACACCAACTCGCCGTCTGCAGGAACCGCCGGTACGTCGAGAGGCGGCGAGCTGTTATGAAGCTAATGCATAAACACTTGCAACCTTATATACACGTGACTCTGTTACCAGTATGAAGATATTAAGATGTAACTACTCTTAGGTTTTTTCGGATAAGTCACGTAGGTAAAACATTAAAATTAATAAAAGTAAAATTAAAATAAAATACAAATCACGACGTTTAGGAGGCAACAAACGTCGTGATTTTTATTTTATTTTTATTTGACTTTTATTAATTTTAATGTTTTACCTACGTGACTTTACCGAAAAAACCTAAGAATATGTTATGAAGCCATTTAAAAGGGGCAGAGGTGCAGCCCTGCAATTGCTTGTATGCATGTGGAACTTCTTTTCGCAGCGTACGTAGCTACTGCGAGTGGAAAGGCCTCCACTGTGGGGTAATTGTCTACTTATCCACGCTGGTCAAAAGACGTGGGAAAACCTACATTTTACCCTATTCATATTCTTAGGTTTTTTCGGTAAAGTCACGTAGGTAAAAACATTAAAAAGTAAAATAAAATAAAAATCACGACGTTTCGGAGGCAACACAAGCCTCCGTCTTCAGGTGGTGTTGCCTCCGAAACGTCGTGATTTTTTATTTTATTTTACTTTTTAATGTTTTTACCTACGTGACTTTACCGAAAAAACCTAAGAATATGAATCCTTGCAGTCACGAAAGCTTCAAATCTAGAATTACATTTTACCCTACCGCACTAAACCTGCTCATGAACTAACTCTGGTGTACCTCTTTATAATCCTGAAAGGAGAGAATTGGAAGGATGTAAGAACGTGTTAACCGATTCACCTGCCGTACTGGGCAGGCATTTTAAGGTCTCCTTCAAAGTTTAATTGTTTAGTAAAAGCCAATAGAGGTATATTGTGGGTTTTAAAAACATTTTTACTGCTAAAGCAAATAGCAAATCGAAAAGGTCCAATTAGCTACGGGTCAGGGCTTTTATTTTCCACACTTTGGTGTAGCCGCTTTACACAAACGGCTATTGAATGGTGCACAATCTGAGGTTTGTTATCAGTGCCAGGGTGCCAAGCTGTGGATTTGTCGCGTGTGAAACGTACTGGCTGAGCGTCGGCCAGCACACAAAGTGGCAAATCCATAAATGTATTTGCAGCTCTAAGGAATCAAAAGCTCCGCCAAGCCCAGAGTATTACACCAACAAAAAAACAAGCAAAGCCTACAAATTACCAATGCTGAAAACCGTTAAAGAAATGAAAAAAAAAATACACAAGCGATTTAAATCCTTTCAAACCAGGCCAGTAATATTTTCCTCTGTTTATTATATTGTGCATTTGAAACAAAAAATGTTAGAAAAAATATTCTTAACTAGTCTTTTGCCCGTCCAAGGACGGGTGTATTGCAGTAATCTGCAACTTGCAAGCGAACAGCGGACCGCGACGTGATATTCATTGCATGAATGCGTGTGCAGTTTGTAAGGCCGCGGTGCCACAGACCTATTTCATTTTAAGGTTATCATCCCTTGTTGATCATGACGTCCTTTTTACTTCGATGTCTCAACAGCGTTACGGAGATGGCGTGACGTGAGGGTTCTGCCTTTGTAGTGAGGGTTGTGAGTTGACGCCGAGGAGGGGAGGACCAGGCGCCTCGCCCCCCATGTGCAGTGACGTCAGCCGCTAATTATTATGATTGTGGGGGGAGGGGTCCATTTGGAGGACGTCACCTTATAATGATTATTAATGAGGGGGGCTGGTCGATGTGGAGTGACGTCACGAGTGTTAAGGACAGACATTCCTGGCTGATTATAGTAAGTATGACTTGAAAAGCACATTGCCGAATTAAGAAGATGCAAGTCATATGTCACTCGGAAGGAATTATGGCCGATGGTCCTGAAAAACAATGCAGCAGCAGACAGGGAATGGACAAATCTGAGAGGACATCTACTGAGGAGATGAAGGGGACTGATTCAGTGGATTGTTGCATCACAGGTCCATGATAAACGGCAATGGCTTGCATAGGCCTTCATAAAGCAGTAGACAGACCATGTCTAAAAATGATGCATCATGTAAACAACACTTATGATTATCCAAACACGTGCACATCAAATCAGATGACTCATGAAGCCTACAGCACTGTGCAGATTGCTCAACGCAAACCGGTTATCAAGTTTAACTGAATGTCTGTGGTTTTGAGGTGAACTGAGATGCACAGAGTACACACGCACCTGTGGCGAGCAGATGTTGCAAGGCTTCTGCGCTTTGGGTTAAAATGGCCCAAATTTCTTCTTCATTCAAGGGCCCATTCTGCACCTCCAGAACCTCGGCCAAGGAGACCCGCACACCTCCACAGCCTGGCATGGTGTACCTGTGCACAGGTGTCAGGTAAATATTAAGGGTCTTCCAATCCATACGTCGATTCATCCATTGATATCTAATCCCAAGACGCGTGACCGATGGTTAAGAACGTGTCCGAGGTGATGTCCACAATGAGAGACGGAGTAATGAAATCAGCTAAAGTGGATTATCACATCGCACGACCATGAGAATGTTATTCAGCAGCGGATTGATCCTGGCATCGAATCACGTGGTTCTAAAAACCATTGGTTTTTAATGTGTACATGTTGTATTAAACAAAAACACATGATCCCTGCATTCACCACAATATTAAATAAAGTATTGATTCTTCAATAGAAGCGTGACCAGGATTCAGGGCAATTCATTGATTCACAGGGGGTGGATTATTATACGTCTGGTAAAAATCACACAAGGCAAAACGATTATTTCTCTTGTCATTTATCCATTGGCGAAAATTTTCAACAAAATTATGAAATGGAAGTTGCGGTGATTACAGTGAATATTTTATCTACCGTGACGTGATTCATAATTGGTTACTTTTGGGTTAGGTCGTGGAGGTATAATGACAATTTATATCTATACCCACCGCCACCTGACAAAGCCTATCAACAATGTTGACATATTTTGAAACATATAATACTGTACTAGAATTTCCACTGCGAGAGAATCAATGAATACCGAGCAAGCACTCCAATGGCCGAGAGGGCGTTGTTCAGCTCTGAATGATAAAATTATTGATTATATCATACACTTTTCGTATGACAAGTCAACACTGTTGCCTAAATTACAGCGTGTTCAAATGGTAAGCTTTAAATAACATTTATGAGCAATCAACATTAAACATGTTTGAATTCCGCCCAGCTTCGTACAAGTTTCCGAAACATCACGAAAATACGTGCCGCTGTTGGACAGTGTTGTACGTACAGCCGTGCCACGGCTGGATGGCTCAGATAGTGACTGTGTTATCTATCTTGGGGTGAGTCTCCTGGGGCCAATATCATCCAATGTACTTGTAGGCTTGACTCACCAATATGCACATTAATGAGTTTATTTTGTAGGCTATATGTCACTGTATTGTTTGCAATTCACAAACTGTTTCAGTTTCACCTCCTGGATCCTTTTTCCCAGTTTTAAGATGCTACAACAGAAGAAAAGGCTTTATACCCTGTCTCGTAATAATACAGGAGGTGTTCAGATGCTCAAAGACCAAATAGATGCCTATGACAAACCACCAAGTCTGCATGAACCACACATACTTGTGGTAAAACATGCAAACAAGTATGTTTCAGTTTTTAAACTCAGGTTTTTCAACTTTTCATTTATAAAAAAAACACCCAACAACAGTACACAGACTGAGCAATTGACCGATTGTCCACTCCCGAGCCAGACCAATAATTAACGTGGCAAATCCACTTAGAAACGCTTGAAAAATCCTTCCCCTGTAAAGTGGGCACAACTGGTCACTTCTGAATATCGATTTACATGTTGGCTGTGGGGGGTGAAGAATTAGCGTTGAATATTTTTCAAAAATAATAAAGCAATAGTGACATTAAAACTGAACTCAAAGTGAAATTTGAGGATGTGTGAATAATATGGCGGACGGTCAGTACACTGCCTGTTCATCAGGAGGGTGGATAGTCTGTCTTGACGAGATTCCTCTTAGTTTTGTTGATAACCCTCAAAATAATTCTAAGATGTGAATACAATAGCCAGAGACAAAAGTGTTTAAAGTTTTTACCATTTTTACCTTCGGGCATAATAAAATTTTGTAAGAAACTACACTGTGGCCAATACAGATTAACTAACATGACAGTTACATCATGGGACCTCCTTTGCCAGTACCAAAATATATGCGTCTTTTGGCGTCATCTGGTCGAACACCATATGAGACTAGGCTCTAAAGAAAGCTGTCTCTGGTGTGGACCAATCAGTTTCAAGGAGAATGCATAAATTATCAGAGTATTGTTTTTGTTTGCATTTGACTGCAAGTATTGTGGTTAATGTAAACATGATTCCTTGCAAAAGGAGTCAGTTTTGTTGCCAGAAAAAAAAGGGGGGAACCCCTATTAGTATAACATGACAGTTCTTCAAAGTATTTGTCATTAACTAATTTGAGGGCAGTATATCAAAGACTGTGGTTTAGTACATCAAACAGATGGAAGGAGCATGGGTTTTCATACCCTAGGTTAAGGGGGGACGTGAAGAGGAACACATGCATTAGAGAACATATTTTAAAATCGAGACATTTAAAGTTAAGAGATATTAGCACGGTTGGTGCGAAATAAGTTCAACATACAGACATAATTAGCAAAAGTAAGCTTGTGCAGAACACATAGCGAGGAGGGACAATGAATAGTGGTCAAAACTAATGCCCAGTGGCAGCCAAAGTAGGGGGCATTCATCAGAGTATATTAACTACCATGGAGATGGAGCAATGCAATAAGCTCAAGGGCATGTGCCAGATGTTTAGTCACTAAATCGTGAGACGACAATGGTTTGGGGTGGTCTTGACCTAACAGTGGATTGATCAAAGCTGATTATGATGGGTTACAGTATCACATTAATATAAAACCTCATGTAATCATGGATGTGGTTCGACACTACATCCTCCTTGACTGCTGGGTGAGTGCCTGTAAACACGTTCCAAGAAATGTGACCATTTTTTTAAAGAGACACAAGGAAAACACGACCAGTCTCCTTTGAACCTCCTTCACTCCGAGAGTAAAATAATCTCTTACTCAGCGAGTACATAGTTCATGTAATCTAGATTTTTTTTTTCTCACGATTACAGGCGTCTGAGACCACAATATTGAGGCCACTGAACCCGACTATCGTGTATAACATTAAACACTGCATCGGTAAAGCTTTGTTTAATGTTACACTATGCCATGGAGGACTTTGAAACTGTTAAAAGTATTGTGACCCAATTATGTCACTCTGCGTTATTCATCTTCCTTCAAGATTCCTTCCTTGACCAAATACAAAGTCCTGTTGTAAAAAAATAAAGCCACAAAGATAACTGTCCTTTAAAATGATCTTCTATCAGAATTTCATCGAGACACGTCATCAGCAAATTGCAAGAAAAGTTCTTTTTTTTTGTAAACAGCTGAAAAACAACTCTCAACTCACACCATCTGTCAGGTGTACATGCCCGCAATATTCTATCATTGTACAGTGCACCTTTCATCTTTTGCTTTCATGCTCTTTGTCAATGCCAATGTTTCTGATCCATAAAAAAAGCAATACAAATGAAGTTGAAGCTAAGAAAGTGTGCAGAGAAGCATGGGGAGGTACAGTACATTGCTTAGAGGCAAAACAGGAACACGTGGATCTGAAAACATAACTAGAATAATCGAGATGTTACTGGACTATTCGCTGTAAATAAAAGTTGGCTTCCAAGGACGTGCTGTCAGAAGGGTCAATGGCAGATTGATAAGAGGGCCGCAGGAGTAACAGCCAAGGATGGAATACGTTCCAGAGGACAGCCACAGTGGGGATGATGGGGAATTTGAGATTGAGCTTGCGTGCAAGGAGCTCGATGGACCCTGGTGGCGTTGCCTCGTTATTCGCGAGGGATACGTTTCGGAGATGCCCGTGAAGAATTACCTTAAATAAATACAATGCTATTAAATACATGACAATTATCATCATAATATCTCTCATCACTTTCTCACATTCTCTGTCATCACTTTTCTCTCTCTCTGTGTGCAGTCGTGTAGAGTTCCAGATGTGATTCGCGGACAGCCAAAATCGCGGAGGGCAAGTTCGTGAATAAGCAGGGAATTCTGTACTGTAATAGTTGAACAGTTGACACATGGCGACAACTTAGGGAGGCCATCATCCAACAGTGAGTTGCTTAATGCCAATAATGATAACATTTAACAGTGATTGCTACGTACTATTATCGCAAGTAACAAAGAATAATAACATTTTGCTATTACTCTCAAGCACCCGAAGCCAAACAAATGTGCCAATTTATGAAGTTTCTTTCTGGAATCCGGGTTACGTTGGAAATTGAACATTGTATGCGTTTCACTCCACACTACACCCATCATCATGAGGTGTTATCAAGAGCTTAGATCTCACGCGTGAACGCACTTGCTAAGCTGTGGCCCCTTAAGTAGGGTGGCCATGACGTTACACCTACACTATCTGAACGCCAAAAGTAACCAAATTATGAATCATAAATCCTGGTCGTGAAAGTCAAAAATAAAATGGCTACACCACGTGCAATATCCATCGTTGAGTCACCCTCGCTATGGCTGTGTTCATAATTCTTGCTTAAGACGTTGCAATTGCTGAATATTTGCCAGCTCAAAACATAAATATAACCTGGTGACCCATCACCATTTATTAATCACACCACATCATCCCCCACACTTTGCATTACCGTGCATCTTATGGTGATTCGCGAATGTTACTTTTAAAAAATAATAGACATAAATACAATTTAAGTGATTTTTTTTTTACGTGACCTCATTACAAATTTTGGTTTCACAAAAAATGTATTTCAAACTGCTGCTATTGATTTTTTTTTTAAAAGGACATTGTATTTTTTTGAGTACCATCGTATAAAGTGTATTTAACTCACACGCTTTAAAGAGCGTGCTCAAGACAATTACCATTTTTTTTAATTGAAAGAATACACGAGAAAGGGATTTATATTATAAAAAAAATTGGGCAAATTATAGATTTGGACCTAACCCGTTTAACCACCTGCTCCCCTAGCTGCTGGCACACCCTGAATGGGAGTTAAGCCTTTCAAGAAGAACATCTCAACACTGTACCGCTCACTATACACTCCAGTTGGGACGTGTGTCATTATTATGGATTAAATACGAAAGTCAGGGAATATAGAAACAGAGGGGACGTGTTCTTTACATGTATGCTGACTCAAAGCCAGTGGTCCTTTTTCAACATCAAGTTAAACATTTCCGAATGAGACACACAATCGTGGGCAATTGATGAGTAACATTTAAGTCCGGTACTATATGTGGAAAAATATTGACT